CCCAAATAGGGAACTAGCCAGTGTCCCAAGCCCGGGTAAATGCAGAGGGTAGTGTAAGGAATGGATCAAAGGAAAAGATAGACATATGGATAGAAGAACCGTAATGATGATAGCATAGTTTTCTATGCATTTTAGGGATTTGTGGGTATGTGGCACCTGAAAAATTATTTCCCAGACCTGCCCTCCCTGATATTCTACCTGCGCCCCTTTGTAGGGCTGGCTAAATCTGGCCCTGCTTTTACTACAGAATTTATAGCGATCATACCACAACTAAGCTGTTCTTTGAGGAGCTTAAACATGGTTGCATATGTATTTTATATACTCAACACAATCAGCAAACTATGAACCATGTAGACCGTAAGTGGCTCCTGGGGTGTGCCAGTTCGGTCCTTCATTAGATTCAAATCAAAACAAATGATTTGAAATACTAAAATAGACCTAACTCTAAAACTGACATATTTCTAGTTTATAAATGAAGTACCACCAGCAGCATGTTTAGGCTAAGCGATAATTAAAGAAAAGCATGGCAAGCTGTTTTCTCTGAGTGTCTCTTTGCAGATGATGTGATGTTATAATATTGTGACAGGGTGAGAATCCTGTCACTGTTTCCAGATTGATCATGCGCCTTGGCTATTTGACCACAGAGATGTCCCTTTGGCTGACTGGTTAGCACGCATGACTCTCACCTGGGAGTCTGAGGATCGAATCCCACCTGGGCCCTTGTTTCTCCACCTTGCCACTATATGAAAAAAGCAGAAAGCATACACCCATGAGCATGTCAGGAGGACTGGGATGCACATAGTGACTGACTCTTGGCATGCACAAGATACTCGGGATCAGAATGCTACCAACATGCAGAGTGATGTAGCACTAAGGTCATTTCAAGCACTTTTTTTTCAAACTTTGATTGTAAAATGACCTTTTTAAACTGGTGCCAATGAGACATTTATCAGTTTAAGTATACGCAAATTAGGTTGGATGTTTGTTGTGTTAACTAAACTACACCTGATGAGAAAATGCCGAGCAGAAACGTTTTAGAGTAAAACTTATGGATCCATTTAACCTTGTTGGTAAAGAATAAAACCATCCTCAAGAAGCTGGTTTTGTTTCCTTTTAGTAATTTACACTCTAACACAAGTGGTCCATGATCATTGTCATTGTGTGTCCTTGAATCAGTTGATTGACCGCAGCATCTCTGTAAAACAATTTCATTTAGGTGCCGCCACCCCCTTCTCACTTTCACGCCGCTCAGTGGTGTATCAGCTACAGATCGACTTCAAACCTGCTTCAAACACACATTTTACACATGGCACTGACACCACAAGGCTTATCAGGCACAGCTTGTGAAGTGATGTGTGAAAAGAGCTATTACCTGTTTGAAGAAGGCCATTGTGGAAGTTCCTTATCCAGTGATTTCATTCCTGGTTACTATGTTGGCTCTAAACCTACCATGTTTTGGGGGTTTGGGACCATTTCACTAAGTTAGATACCTTTACCTGAACATAATGTTATTAAAACAAAACCCTACCTTGTTGAGAAAAGACGATGCTGTCATACAGTTTTTACATATATGGCTCTGAAGGTTACTCACAATTGCATAATCCCAATCACAGTGATTAAATAAAGACATAATGATGATTAAAACACAGACAGTATGAACCTATCCTGTCAGCCTGCTGTGGGACCTGTGGATCGTTCCTCTTTACCTCAACTACTTCAGTGCTGATCAACTTAGGCAAACTCGTTGTTTTTTTCTTTATCATCATAATAATTATTAGGGAATTCATTTTAATTTATCCGAGGATCAAGAAGACTTTGTATTTTCTCCTGTGAATCCCATTGGCTAACCGAAGGATCTTGAAATTACTTAAACATGTTTTAGTTTTGATCCCGATCAGTCACAAAAACAATGCAATGGGCAAGAGTATTTTCCACTTTGCGTGCATGCTCTTGTTTTAATGTTACCTTTCAAATGATCCACACTTCCTCCATTCGCACACGTCATGGTGTTTTAAAACATGTCACAAAAAGGAAAAAAATACACAAGCTGCATCAATAACTATGCCTCCATTATTTTCAGTATGACCTCCACATGTTTGGTGTTGCGACACCTCATAGTGACTTCCCTGCATCTCTATTTCCAAACCTCGGTGTTAATGAATAACACGTTTTAGCTGCACCTGTCCTGTTTTAAAATCCAGCCTTCTGTAGCAGCTTTGTTGCAGATATGCATGTCCATGTTTTCTGGCTTTTTTTTTTTTTTTTTTTTTTGCTGATTTTATTGATTCTAGTGTGATAAAAAAGTATTTGAAAATTGAATTTAAAATAAAAAATTCCATTCATTTTTATCCACTTATCCAGTGTCGGGTCACTGGGGAATCCCAGGGTGTTCCCTGGCCAGATGAGAAACTAATAGAACAGCACTATTCAGCCTAAAACAGCTCAGTACAACGTGGGTTAACTCTGCTCACCTCAGAGTAGTTGGTTGTCCCTGCCAGCTAAGAGACAAAAGTGGGTGTACAGTCTGTATCTGCATGCTACTCAGAAACTCAACCAGTGTTGCCACAGTTACTTTGAAATAGTAGTTTGATTAAAGGCTACTGATTACTGCACGTCAAAAGTAACTGAGTTAGATTATAAGTTACTTTATAAGCTACTTTCAACAGCTGTTACTTACTGTAACCATTGCCTCAACATTAAAATCAGCAATCAGTGATACTGGTGCAATGCGTTTGGAAGAATGCTAGCAGTTAGCATCATACATGAGCTAACACACTGAGAACCAAGATTATTGTTAAACACATTGATGAGTGGTCGAACGACAGCATGATCCCATTCCTCTGAATGGAATCGCTACTCGCGTTGCAAAATTAACACCAACCAAAAATAGCACCAAACAAACCTAGCAGTAAATGTTTGTTCTATTTTGGTGTGTTTTGTTGGGGTTTTGTTGCCAGTGTTGTGCTAGATGTTGTTTGTCTTTTGTTCAGTGTTCTGATGGTGATAACTTTGGTTTGTGTTAATTTTGCATTGCGAGTAGCAGTTCCATTCCAAAGAATGGGATCCCAGTGCCGCTCGCTTTGCACAGGGCTGCCAATGTGTATGATTCATGGAAGTAATTTTCACTTTAGAAGTGAGGGGGACACGGGAAGGGGGGGTATCTTTACAGTATGCTATAATGGGAAACAGGCTTCAACACAAACGGTTGTTTTCCTCTTGGGCCTAGAGCTCAACCAGTGTCAATTTAATTTGGCATAATTTTGTTTTTGGATGGTAAAAAGTGCAGGGGTCAAAACTTGACTTTGGAAAAAGTGGGGGGGGGGGGGGGGGGGACGGGGGGGGGGGGACATGTCCCCCCAAAAAATTACGTCCATGGCATGATTACGTTAGATGCTAGCTATTAGCATTCCTGCCAATATGTTGCATAAGCTCAGCAAAACTTATTGCTGGCTTTTATGCTGAGGCAATGTGTACGGTAGTTATTCCTGTTGCTGGTTTTCACATCTTGACCAAACATAAAAATGGTTACACAAAATTAGTAATCAGTAACGCATAGTGTCTCGGAAAAGTTACTTTAATTTGATTACTGATATGGAAATAGTAGCGCGTTAGATTAGTCATTACTGAAAAAAGTGGTCATTTTAGAGTAATGCGTTACTGGCATCACTGAACACAACTCAGCACAAAACTGGTGATGATGTTCAACAATCTCCTCAGTTTCATGACTTTTTGTCAGACTCTGAACCAGAAAATAGCTGCAGGCAGTGAGGCAGCAGCCAGAAAGCTCTGGATCATCCAGTGAATCCACCCTTTAGCCAATCAGCAGCCGACAACAATGATGCTGGCCTGACTCAGCCCTTGGAACCTCAACGGAACAAGCACTAAAAAAATTGAAGAAGACAGAGGGAAAACACCAAACAGTGCTGTAGGAAAAGATGGCCAGAGATGCACTGATTTGAGTTACTCTGAGTTGTGTCATTGGTAAAGGACTGACCGCCTGTCAATCTCCTGCTCCAGCTTTCCCTCACGCTTGAACAAGACCCTGAGATACTTAAACTCCTCCACTTGGGGTCGGACCTCGTTCTTGACCCCAAGAACCCTTTTCTGACTCATGACCCTGGTCTCAGATTTTGAGGAGTTGATTCTCACCTACTTCACACTTGGCTCCAAACCAAAGTTTTAAATAGAACTATCAGAAATACTACTGTGATTTATAAAAAAACAACATTTGTGTTCTAAAAATATTAAATTTGGTAATCAAATTATTTATTTATGAATGGTAAAATGGTAAATGGCTTGTATTTGTTATGGTGCCTTCTGGGGTCCTGGAGCTCGGGCGCACTGATGGAGGCAAGGCTGCCGAGTACAGACGCCGCCGGTCCCTCCAAGCGCCACCAGCAGGCAGGGAGGGTTAAGTGTCTTGCCCAAGGACACAACGACAGTGACAAACTAAGCAGCGCTTGAACCTGCAACCTTCCGATTACGGGGCGAGCACTCAACTCCTGTGCCACCATCATCCCCTTCATGAACTGAATATGTCAAAAAATACAACTATTTAATGATAGAAAACCGTGATAAAGTGAACTCAGTTCATCTCATTGCAGAGTTAAATTTTTGGTGTGTGTTCTTGGCATCACTCTTATTTCAACAAGACACTTTTCATTTTTCCCTACATAGTTTCAGTCATGTACCACCAGTGGTTTTTAACTTACTGGACTTGAGTTTGACTTGCAGTGAGTCTCTGAAACGTTGTTCTCATCCCCAAACCTCAAAGACCTGGAGCTCTGAAGTAGCTGTTTTAAACGTACGATTTGGACTCCAGGAAGACTAGCTGTCGAGTATCCATCAGCTAATGGGGATCTTTTTTAAATAAAGAAATAAAAACGCTGCTTACTCTAAGTTGAATGAAAGAGAATAAGTGTATAAAAACGGTTCCACAACCCTCAAGACCAAGAGTTATTCATGGTCTTTTACTTATCAAGTCTGTTTTGTCTCTTCAGGTACCCTGCTGGCTCCGCCCCCGAGATCGCACCCGCTCACCTGACATCCTCAGCAATACGTCACGTCCCACGTCTCTTCCTCTTCGTATTCCTCCACGCATATCTATCACACAAGCAGATGCCGACAGGTTTACTACTTGTTTCTTCCTGGTCAAATCTTTCAGGCAAAATTTTTTTCTGTCTTGTCTAATATTTGTCATTGTGTCACAGTTATGAAGCAGAAAATGGCGTGCCCCAAGGCTACACCCCTGTGGGCTCCCAGAGTCCAAGCCTCACCTTGAACACCTCCTTCCCTCAGGGCCAGAGAAGAGAGTCCTTCCTGTATCGCTCGGACTCGGACTACGACATGTCACCAAAGACGGTTCCCCGTAACTCATCCCTTGCCAGTGAGGGGTGAGCTTCAGAACAAGAGACTGTACTGACTAAAGTCTCATTGAAAAAAATATTTTTAGAATTCTTACCCTTGATTCTTCATCTTTAAGGCACACAGCGGAGGACTTCATCGTCACACCATTTGCTCAAGTCAGTGCAATTTAACAGAATTTGTAGATTTTAGACATATTGAAACCTAATAACTGATGTTTGGGAACAGATGTGTCAAACATTTTGAATGAATGTGGTTTTATTCTGATATTGTCTGGTGTCTCAGGTTCTAGCCAGTCTACGATCAGTACGAAGACATTTCACCATTCTTGCCAATGTCTCCACTCCAACAGTCAAGTTAGTACCAACACACCTTCAAACGTTTCACATGCAGCAGAGAACATCTCGGTTTTTAGAAGATAACTATTAGCGTTAGCAACTCCACCACATGGCAAAACTCCATGAGGCTTGTGTTATTTGTGGAGATAAACATCAATGTTGCAAATTAAATGGAGTCAGTGGTAGTGCATTGCTGTTTGCCAATCAGAGGTGAGATGTCTAAATATCAGGAGAAAAGACTCCAAAAACTGTCATCTGAGACTCCACTGATCTGGCAATCTTCTAAATCCGGAAACAGGCGCATCAAGGCTTTTTGAGTGCAGCTTACAAGGAATTCATTTCTATTAGCACCCACTACAAATGTAGTGATTAAACAAGTGAACAACACCTTGAATGGATTTCCTTTGTGTAGTGCAATTCAAACTCAGACTGCTAGGTGGCAGCGGTTTTTACCGCCTTCATTCTTACGGAACAATGACATCTTTCGATAACACTGGATGTATTTGGGGGATGTCTGGCCTGAGTTTTCCAATTAAACTTAGTCTTAAAATTTGCATATATCACCAGACTTTTACACTGAACAAAAATATAAACTCAACACTTTAGTTTTTGCTCCCATTTTTCATGAGCTGAACTCAAACGTCTGAAAATTTGTCTACATACACAAAAAACTCATGACTCTCAAATATTGTTCTGAAATCTGCCTACATGTGTGTTAGTGAGCACTTTTCCTTTACCAAGATCATCCATCCCACCTCACAGGTGTGGCATATCAAGGGGCTGATTAGACAGCATGAATAATGTACAGGTGTGCCTTATGCTGCCCACAACAAAAGGCCACCCTGACATGTGCACAGTTTTGCTTTATGGGAGGTTATGGGGCAGAAAACCAGTCAGTGTTTTTGCCTCACGTAGGGCAACACACCTCCGTCACATAGAGTTGATCGGGTTGTTGATTGTGGCCTGTGGAATGTTGGTCCACTCCTCTTCAATAGTTGTGTGAAGTTGCTGAATATTGGCAGGAAGGGGAACAGGCTGTTGTATACGCCGATTCAGAGCATCCCAAACATGCTCAATGGGTGACATGTCTGGTGAGTATGCTGGCCAGGCAAGAACTAGAATGTTTTCAGCTTCCAGGAATTGTGTACAGATCCTTGCCAAATGGGGCCGTGCGTTATCATGCTGCAACATGAGGTGATGGTCATGGATGAATGGCACATCAATGGGCCTCAGGATCTTGTCACGGTACCTCAGTGCATTCAAAATGCCATCAATAAAAAGCCCCTGTGTTCGTCCATAACATACGCCTGCACAGGAAACCACTCACCCACACCATGCCACACACGCAGTCTGCCACCTGCCCTAAACGGTGGAAACCGGGACTCATCTGTGAACAGAAAGCCTCTCCGATGTGCCAAATGCCATTAAATGTGAGTGTTTGCCCACTCGAGTCGGTTACGACAACGGACTGCAGTCAGGTCCAGACCCAAATGAGGATGATGAGCACGTAGATGATGAGCTTCCCTGAGACGGTTTATGACAGTTTGTGCATAAATTCTCTGGTTATGTAAACCGATTGTTGCTGCAGCTGTCTAGGTGGCTGGTCTCTTGCGATCCTGGAGGTGAACATGCTGGATGTGAAGGTCCTGGGCTTGGTGTGGTCACACGTGGTCTGCGGTTGTGAAGCTGGTTGGATGCACTGCCAAATTCTCTGAAACGCCTTTGGAGATGGCTTATGGTAGAGAAATGAACATTCATTTCACGGGCAACAGCTCTGGTAGACATTCCTGCAGTCAGCATGCCAGTTGCATGCTCCCTCACAGGTTGCAACATCTGTGGCATTGTGCTGTTTGATCAAACTGTGCACATATCAGGGTGGCCTTTTATTGTGGGCAGTCTAAGGCACACCTGTACATTATTCATGCTCTTTAATCAGCCCCTTTATATGCCACACCTGTGAGGTTGGGTGGATTATCTTGGTAAAGGTAAAGTGCTCATTAACACACATGTAGACAGATTTCAGAACAACAATTGAGAGTCATGGATGTTCTGTGCATGTAGAAAAAGTTTCAGACGTTTGATTTCAACTCATGAAAAATTGGAGCAAAAACAACAGTGTTGAGTTTATGTTTTTGTTCAGTGTAGTTTTGTAATATATCATCATCTCCCCTATATTGTGATTTATATCGTATCGCCAGATTTATTCCAATTTACATCTTTATCATTGTGTATCCCTGATCTGGGTAATGGTTGTGCTTGTAGGAGGTCTCCTTTAGGTGGAGTGTGTGTCAGTCCCAGAGCAACACTATCAGACCAGCAGTACCAGCAGCTCGCCCTGGACACACTGGAGGAGTTGGACTGGTGTTTGGACCAGTTGGAGACCATTCAGACTCATCGCTCAGTTAGTGAAATGGCTTCCAATAAGGTACAAAACATCTCTGAACCAGCGAGTCCAACTTGGATATCAGTAGTTTATTACAAGTGCTCTGTCCACATTCAAACATATATTTATTGCTGTCTTGATTTATATATACTAAATATTTCTTTATTTTATTTTTCTGCAGTTCAAAAGAATGCTGAACAGAGAACTCTCCCATTTATCAGAGATGAGCCGCTCTGGGAACCAAGTATCCGAGTACATCTCCAGCACCTTTCTGGGTGAGTTGGACCTGAATCTGGAATTCCTGTCAGCATCACATTTATGATGTTTAGTCAAATGCAAACAAATCATTCTGCGTGTGCTTTTTTGTTTGTCTGCAGACAAACATAACGAGGTGGAAATCCCGTCTCCGACACTTAAAGACAAGCCTATGAGTCACATCATTGGGGTGAGGAAACTGTCTCACAGCTCCAGCCTCTCCAGCGCCTCCATGCCTCGCTTCGGCGTCAACACGGACTACGAGGAGGAACTTGCTAAGGTGTTGTTTACAGTCTGGGTCACTCAAAGTCACAAAGGATCCACTTCACACCATTCTGGTCTGAAAAACAAGCATTACTTCATAACTGAGTGATTCCATGGAAGTTCATTTACTCTTTTGATTACAAACATCAAATAGATGAAGCCACCAGTGATTGTCATGATATTCAAGAGGTCTAGGTGTTGTGCAGGATGAATAACTTATTATTTCATGTATCTGCTGTTTGGTCCTGGGCATAATATTTTAAAGAGCAGGTTAGCTGAGAAACCATTTTGTACTTCTTATTTCGAAAATGAGTCACTCTGAGTTTTTAATGCAGGCTGAACATGAAAATAGTCTTCTACCCTTCTTTCTTGCATTAGCTTCTGATAGAAAATATACGGAAAAACGCTTCGTTCAGAAAATCCTGACAGATTTACGTCACACTGTCACTTAACATTAATTGACTCATCTTGACTCACAACAGGGAAGGCTTTTGTTTGTTTTGCATCCAGGAAACAGCTGAACATGCCTCAACTAGTAGAAGCTAACCATTTGCATTAGCTACTCTACCACACAGCAGAACTCCTTCAGGCTTGTGTTATTTGTGGAGATAAAACATCAACGTTGCAGAACAAACAGAGTCAGTGGTAGAGTCATGACGCTGTTAGCCAATCAGCGATGAGATGTCTGAATATCAGGAAATAAGACCCCAAATCCTGTTGTTCTCTGCCATCTTCACATTGGAACGTTTCCCCCCAGAGAATAACTTACAAACAATTCTCAACTGTAATATCAGCTATTTATTGGCCAATGATTATCTATTTTTTTATGTGATCATATAATGATGATGATAATAATAATAATAATAATAATAATAATAATAATTTAATTTCTAAAGAGCTCTAAAACTAAACATTGAACACCAAAAAGAATAAACAGGATGCAATTAAGAACATAAAAAACATAAAATAACTGCAGTACAACCAATAAATCTAAGACTCATATAGTAAAAAGGTGGGACTTTAGTGTAGCTTTACAAACCTCTACAGAACAAGCGTGTCTAATTTATTGAGGTAGATTTTCCCACAATGCAGGAAAAGAAAAGGCACGCTCCTCAATAGGTTTTTTATTAACTGTTTGGACCTTTTTAAAGGTTCGTGTTCATATCTCCCAGTTATTGTCAAAATATGAGCAGCCGCAAATAACAACACGACAATAATTAAAAGAATAAACATAGTTGGCAATCACCACCTGCAGTACTCAGATCCTCCTCCAGGATACATGTAGATCAGGGGTGTCAAACTCAAACTCACACGGGGCCGAAATGAAACTCTGGGACGGAGTCGAGGGCCAAACTTAATATTTTTTGAAAAAGTGACGGCAAATTTGCACATTTTCTTTATCAACATATATGCAATTTTGAACCTTTTAATTTGGAAACAAACATATTTCTACATTAACACTGAATGTGGAATAACCAAATTACACACGAGCAAGTCAGTTTTAAATAAAAGGCATCAGTGGTATTCATTACTTGTGGTATAATCAGCATTTTAAAAATCTATTCAGGATTTATGTTTTCTTGTTTATTCATTTTTCTTATTTTTATTCTCCTTTTTTCTCCTGTAATAAGTGTCATCGCTGCTGTGACGTCTAGCTTTCCCCACTGAGGAACAATAAAGGGATTTTCTATTCTATTCATCTATCTGCAGCCTTTCCACTTCCTGTTTACTGTAGGTTAAATCTTTTCTCACGTGCCAACTAGAAAATAAAAATATCATTTTATCTTAAATGAAGATGCAACATCTCACCTGTTAACTTTCATGTTTTGGAGCAGAAAAAGAGCATAAAACCAACATATTTAAAGCTCAGTTTGTTCCACTGGTTTACTGTGATGCTCACCTGTTCCAGCCAGATACCTGCATCATGGGGTTGATCTGAGCTGAGGAGGAGACTCCTGTTGTTTTGTTCCTCTTCATCATAATAATGACAACATTAGATGACAACAGGTGCTCACATAGGTTTGTGCTGATGAACATGTCTGAGCAGCTTGACCACGTTTTTGTGTGTCGGGGAGGAAACACGACAGCAGCCACAGAGCCGTGCTGGTTTGAGCGTGTCGCTGCTCGCTAGAGTTATATCAGCTCTGTCTGGACGTTAGTTGGAAAACTTTCTCTTTCAGTCGTGAACACATTACTGAGCGGCTAGAATCTCCGTTTCTGAGCTTCAACGTCAGAAAACAGCTGAGTGAACTCGGCGCTGAGTGAGAGGAGTGTAGTTTGTCCGAGACAGCGGAGCTGCAGACACCGGCAGAAGACGCTGGAAAAAACACAAAGGAGGGGGTGCGTCGGCTCCGCGCTAACGCCGCAAAGCATCATGGGAGTTGAATTCTTTGCGGTAAAATTGGCCAGCGGGCCAGTTTTAATATATTTTTGATATTTATCTCGCGGGCCACATAAAAGTGCTCCGCGGGCCGCATCTGGCCCGCAGGCCTTGAGTCTGACATATGTGATGTAGATAATTAATTTTGAGCTCAACTCTGTAGTCTGATTGGTTGTGGTTGAGTTTTTTCAGCCTTACATTTACCGGAGCCTTAAAATTACTATTACTATTTTGAAATTGCACCACAATGAAAAAGGCATAAAGAAAATGTGTTTGTTTTCTTGTTTGTAAAAGTTTTAATGTGAAAAATAAGACTTACATTAGCTTTTATGGTCAATGTAACTTTTCTGATTTTGGTATTCATGTTTTATATGTCTGTTTAACCAGGAGCTGGAGGATCTGGACAAGTGGAGTTTTAACATATTCAGAGTAGCAGAGTTCTCCAATAACAGACCTCTTAGTTGTATCATGTACGCCATCTTCCAGGTAAACAATAAAAGCAACAGAACCTGCAGATTTCCTGTTATGCTCTCGGATTCCTGTTTGTGACAGTCTGGCTCCATTATCTGTCCTCCTCAGGAGCGGGAGCTCCTGAAGACATTTCGTATTCCTGCTGACACTTTTGTCACTTATGTGATGACCTTGGAGGACCATTACCATGGAAACGTAGCATATCACAACAGCCTCCATGCTGCAGATGTCACCCAGTCCACGCATGTCCTTCTCTCCACACCTGCTCTGGATGTAAGTTAACACACACACACACACACACACACACACACACACACACACACACACACACACACACACACACAGTGATGTTACATTTATAAGGTGTAAGGAGACTAAATAAATGCTTATGAAGCTCCCTCGGTTGTTCTTGCATTGTTCTTGTCCCGTTAGGCCGTCTTCACTGATCTGGAGATCCTTGCCGCTCTGTTTGCCGCAGCTATTCATGACGTAGATCACCCTGGAGTTTCAAATCAGTTCCTTATCAACACCAGTGAGCTGCACACTCAAGCATGAGCTCTGTAACATGCTCCACAAAGAAAATCAGATCCTGTGTTTACACCCGTTCCCCTCTGTGTGCAGACTCAGAACTAGCACTGATGTATAACGACGAGTCGGTCTTGGAGAATCACCACCTCGCTGTGGGCTTCAAGCTACTGCACCAGGAGAACTGTGATATCTTCCAGAACCTCACCAAGCGGCAGCGCCAGAGTCTCCGCAAGCTCGTCATCGACATGGTCAGCACCTTGGCACACACAGCTTACAAAGATGGATCAGCTGTAAACACATCAGTGCAATGGAAGCAGAAGTTCAGCTTAATATAGCTCAGATTTTCTTTAGCATGTGTGGCAGAGTGAGCGTCCTGTCACTGTGACTCGACTGATCATGCGCCCTGGCTACTTGGCCAACGGGATGTTTCTATGGCTGACTGGTTTGCGTGCATGACTCTCACCCGGGAGCCTGGGGATGGAATCCCGCCTGAGCCCTTGTTTCTCTACCTAGCCACATATGTTTTATGTGTCTTTAAAGTTAAAGTTCCATTAATCATCATCACACACTGGTGAAATTACATCTCCACATATTGACCAATCCCTGTGGGGAGCGGTGAGCTGCAGCAGTGGCTGTGCTTGGGAACTTTTTGGTGGTTTAGCAACACTAAATAAGTGTTCCACTTCTCCCTCCTGCAGGTTGAAAGCAGAATTACAACTGTCGCAAACAACAACTCTGCCACAGCCTTCAGTAGATAGCACTAACAACAAGCTGACACTAACATGAGCTGGCTGATACTAAAGTAAGCCGTGAAGTTAAAGGATCCACACTGTTGGACAAAGAATATGATTACTTACAAGTCCAGTAACAACAAAGCCTTTGCCTCCAACAATATCACTCTCATACTTTTTCTTCCACGCTCCACCATGACGTCAACAAAAAAAAGCTAAATTCTTTTGCTTGTGTTTTTCTTGATGGTTGTTGAGCTGACAAAGCTAACTGTTTGCCTTTACATGAGCTACTGGCACAGAGAGACCTCCCACTAGTGTTCTGGTCAGAAAGGGGCTACAGAGTGCTGTACAATGTAAAGTTTCTCAAGTTTATGGCTCAAGAACCACTGAAACCACTTTGAAAGCAATAGTATAAAATGTTAAAGGGGAACTAGGCAGTTTGGGCTTGCTTTTATTACCCTCTAGTGTCCATTTGTAGAACCGGAACCAAAATGTATCTCCTTGCTATGCATTCGTCTCCCAGTCTTCCTAAGTGTCTTCTAAAAGAGCTGTGTTCATGATATATAACATGCAGGAAATGTGCTGGAACTAGACTGCAGCACCAGGTATGTCAGCTGATTTTTTTTAAGTCCCAACAGAGCAGCCTGCCAGTCTGAAGTTGCAAGTGGAATATTCTGGCCACAGGGGTGATAGGGGCTGGGTGGCCTTTCATTAAGCATGTAAAGGTTCATTTTAGCACAAACTGGCTCAAGAAAATTATTTAAAAATATGGAAAAAAAATTAAGTATTACCTTTAAAACACTTTAGTGTCTCTTTATGACATTTCTCCCATTAGAGATTATTGGGTAGGATTTTATTCCCTTGACAAATAGCAGTTTAGAACTGCACCGGATCACTTAGTTTAGATGAGATTTTGTAAACTAAAATGTGTTTTTGACTAAGACACGTGAGAATTTGAAACAAAGGAGAAAAGAAGCATTTTGAACAAGGTATGTCTGTGTGCAGGTGTTGGCTACAGACATGTCCAAACACATGACACTGCTGGCTGATTTGAAGACCATGGTGGAGACCAAGAAGGTGACAAGTTCAGGTGTTTTGCTCCTGGATCATTATACAGAGCGAATACAGGTAACTCATCCATCTTTTTTAATATCAAATCTAATCTAAATATCTGTTTTTTACAGTACTTTATTTAAGGTGTGGTTTGTAGAGGAAAGGGATAACATTAACTTGAATGAACTGTTTCCCTTCATGTTTTTTTATTCCCCTGCAGGTTCTTAAGAACATGGTGCACTGTGCAGACCTGAGCAACCCAACCAAACCATTACCGTTGTACAGACAGTGGACGGAGAGGATCATGGAGGAGTTCTTTCGACAGGGTGACAAAGAGCGAGAGAGGGGGATGGAGATCAGCGCCATGTGTGACAAACACACCGCCTCTGTAGAGAAGAGCCAGGTAATGCTGCCCTCCCAATACTGTCAGAGATAGAGGAAGGAACTTTAGCTTCAGGAGACAGAATAGTGATAAACAACTTTAAAAGTTTCTAATAAAGAAAGCCGTGAACAAAAGGTTCATTCCTTCTCGTTTTGCTTAATAAAATGATCACAAACACATTAACATGAAACATACAGTGGCTAGTTTAACTCAAACTAGTCAGATGGGAGCAGAAGTAGAAACAGGAACTAACATTAAGCCTTTTAGACAGAAACGGATCTAAGATCTACTCCAGAAAAGTAGGAGAGATAGATCTGGTCTAATTTACAACTTAGATTCGTGTTTGTCTGAACGTTGACCCACAGGTGGCAGCAGAACCCTGAATTGTGACAAATAAATAAATAAAATTCAATACCCCAGAAAAGATATAACAGAAAGTTTTGAGACACATATTTCAAATAAAGTGGTGTAGAAATTATTTGCCTCCTGACAGATTTTTACTTCTTAACTTTTTTAAACCCTGCACACCTCACTTTGATCAGGTTAAGGTCAGAGGTCAATTAAGAACAAAATGAGGCAGAATGGCCTCTACGGGAAAGATTCAATGATTAAAACCTCTGCTCATCTAAAAGAACACAAAGGCCCAAATCATTTTTATCATGATGATCCCCAAAACACTTTGGAAGGTGTGTGTCCGGCTGCATTTGGTGTAAAACTAAAATTGCATTTTAGATAGGAACATTGTGGCAGTCCAACATGGTGGTCGTGTAATGATCTGGGTGCTGCTTTGCTATCAGAAAGAACAGGAGCAGCCTGCATATTTTTGCTCATGCAAACATTGTTAGAGAGGACGTTTCTGTGGTGGTGGTGTTCTGGACATGTTCACAGTGTGACCACATGTAGAGGTGTAGAAATCTTTGCTCAGTGAGTATAAATCAGGGGCCTCATTTATCAAGCTTGCTTACGCACAAAACGGGGTCGGAAAACTGCGTAAGCAACTTTCCACGCAAACTTTGGGATTTATGAAAGAAAACTTAGCGGAAAAATGTGCGCAACTTTAAGTTGACTAAGGACCTGGCTTACACACATGTTGGACATGGAGAGCACCTGCAGTGCTGCTGCTGAGAAGGATAAAATTATGAAATCCTACAGCATTATCACTTGTACTGCTTCGTTTTCACTCAGAGCAAGACCCCCCACACGCACACACACGCACGCGTGTACATACACATGCGCACACACACACACACTAGAGGTGGGAAAAATGATCGATTCTAAGATGCATCGCGATTCAGCCGTGCATGATTCCGCATCGATGCAGCGACGTGACATAATGAGATTCTCTCCCTATGTATATGTCGGGGGTCGGCAACCGCGGCTCTGGAGCCGCATGCGGCTCTTCCATCCATCTGATGCGGCTCTCTGTGCTTGTAAAATAATGAATGGATATTTAAATAAAATGCTTTATATTTTACTGCATTAATTTTACATCTGTATGCCAATTCTATGTAAAGATTGTCTGTGTAAACCTGAACAGCTCCAACCCGGTCTCACTGTGAGACCGGGTAGACGCGGCACGCTTGTGCGTAATCATAAAGGCGCATTCTGAGCTGACGAGGATGTGAGATTCTGGGATTCTCCTCAGACAGCTCCTGGATGTGTCGCCACATTGGAGACAGGAACAAGCGCTATTCAGCCAAAGTTTCATAATCAGGGAGCATTTTCTAAGTGACAAGTCTCGCTTCAGTCGGAGGAATCTTCCTGCATGCGCTCTGGTTCTGCAACGTACTCCAAGCCCCTCTCCACAACTTCAGCTCGCTGTGTGCCGTACGTACGCGCTGACAGCGAGCTGCGCTGAGCTCCGTGTCAAGCTCAGATGGGAATCATTTCTTAAGTGATTTAGCTACATCTGCGCGAAACGAATAAAGTGTCAGTTCGTCTGCATGCGTCGGGGTAGTTCTTTCTATTCTTTCTCCGTCAAAATAAACGGTTAAATACGGGAACTATCCGGTCAACACAACACAAGCCCTGCTTTTAACTGTTCTGTTTTCTTGTGAAAATTGTTGGAAAGAGATAAAATTTAACTTGATTAACACCAGAGCCAGGCGCACTGCGCCGTTATCTCCGTCACTGTAAATGAGGGACAAACAAAATGATCAGATCCTTTTCTGACCTTCCCCACCTACAAAGTTTAATAACAACAATCAAACGTGACAGCGCCTGGATTTGTATTCTGAACAGTCTAAACATGTTTTAAAAAGAAACGTATGACAAAAGTGGCACCTGCTCAGTAAAACCCCCAACAGGGTGAAAAATATCAAAATACTGTAGGCAGAGACGGGCTACAACTTCTGGATCCACTTTATATAAATCGTTTTATTGATTATCTTCTTATGAAAGATAACTTTGACGTACACGAGCGACCAGTACTGGCTGCTGTCACCTGTTGTGAGCAGCGCTCTGCTGTCTGAGGGTAGGCCCCGCCCACAACGCCGCGGCTGCTGTGGCTCCCAGTGTTTTCTTTACTGTGGGAAACGGGTAATAATGGCTCTTTGATGGGAACAGGTTGCCGACCCCTGGTCTATGTCTATGCAGGACAATAAAGTTTTGAGGTTTTATAATTACTTCTGGGGGCAGAGTTGCAATGACATGCTGCGTTGCCCTAGCGCCAATTTAAAACAGAAAAGGCAGACAGGGATACAGGGCCAACATTACCACTAATCAAATATGTACCCATTACATTTAAATCGGATGTCTGGGCTAATTTCGGTTTTGGGATCCTGGATGTGAAAGAATCACTTAACACAGTATTTGTTTACTATTTTTAAGTTCAGTAATATTCTATCTTAAAGCTGCTCCACCGAAAACATTATTTCTTATATTATTTAAGTAATTATAGGCAGCACACTTTAAAAATTATTGCTCACTATAGTGAATAGATGAATGTTCTGTTTTTCAGGGATTTCGAAATCAAAAAGAAATTGAAAACTATTCTACTGCTTTTATTAAGTAATGAAAAATTTTGTGTGAAGAATCGTGATGCATTTCAGACTCAAATCGAATCGTTAGGCAGATAATCGGAATCGGATCGAATCGTGAGGCAGGTAGAGATGCACACCACTAACACACACACGCGCGCAAACACACACACAGCCTGAAGCGCAGAATACGGAATGCAGAATATCAGCAGGGGGACAGACTGAGACAGAACGTCATGCGTCTGTGACAGTGTGTGTCCTGTCACTGTGACTCGATTGATAATGCTCCCTGGCTACTTGTACAAGGGAGATCTCTGTTTGGCTGACTGGTTAGTGCGTGTGACTTTCACCTGTGAGTCTTGGGATCAAATCCCAATTGGACCATGTTTTTTATATCCGCCACAGATCTCTCTGAAGAACTCACAACATTGACGGCTTCAGCAAAGCAGTGCCACTCCGTGGATTTTCCCTTATTTGTTTTGCAAAAGCACTTCCTTTCATTTCTCCACCTCACCCACAAGTACCTCAACTTCTGCTTCTGTGAAATTGTGCTTCCTTGATCTGCCTTGATCTACAGTCGCCATGTCATTGGCGGAGCGCTGCAACAGCCGGCTTATGCATGAGGCCCACAAGGCACTTTGCATTGACTATTTATGGCAGTAAGTGGGCGTGGTGAGGGCGGGATGTGACTAAAAAGCAGCTGAGAAACATTCTCGTTAGTCTCAGATTTATAAAGCGAAGATTGCGTGCAGCTGTGTGTACTCCATGTTTGATAGATCACAAACTTACTTGGTGTAAGTACATTTGTTTTTGCTGAGCTTAAGTATGGTTTTAGTAAGGATTCTACGCCATGTTTGATAAATGAGACCCCTGAGCTTTTTGAATCCATGAGTCATTTAGGAGACTTTAGCTGCAGTGAGATTCCAGTAACACACTCACAGGATTAGATGTGCAAGAAAAGAGTAAAGCCTTTTTTTTTACTATTTGAGACCAAATGAAAAACTGTATAAATGATAGAATTTGAGTGCAGAAACATACAGGAGTGTTGTCAGCGGTCAAGAGTCTCTCATTTAAAACATCTTGTTTTTCCAGGTTGGATTCATTGACTACATCGTACACCCACTGTGGGAGACGTGGGCCGACCTGGTGCACCCGGACGCCCAGGAGCTGCTGGACACTTTAGAGGAGAACAGGGAGTGGTACCTGAACACCATGCCCCAGTCTCCGTCACCTCCTCCGGACAGACACCTCCAACAGGACCGCTTTCAGTTTGAGCTCACGCTTGAGAACCTGGAGCACAACAATCACAACCATATATGCCTGAAGAGTGGGAGGAGCAGCAGGAGCAATCAGAAAGCCATCTGTGATGACAGTTCGCACGGTGACCCGACAGAAACAAGCGAAGGGGAGCAGAACTACTCTGGAGCCGAGAAAGACGACAAGGAAAACCACAACAGTGAGCAGAACGGGGTTCAGGGAGAAAAGGAGCATGAGGATACTGAAGGGAAGGAAGGAGAGGCAGGAGAGGAGGAAGAGGTACATAAAGATGAGCATGTGGGAGAAGAAATTAACGGCGCACAAGATGAGGAGACAAGAGAAGAGGATGAAGAAGAAGACAAAATGGAGGAGGAGGTAGATAAGGAAAGGGAAGAGGATGAGGTAGAAGGCGAGGAAGGAGCCCAACAAGAAGAGTTGGATGGAGAGAGCAAAGGGGAGGAGTTGGAGACAGAGGAGAATTTGGCTGAAAAACAGGAGGATGTAGAAGAAGAGGGTGAAACAAAGGAGAAAGGTGAAGAAGAGGAGACAGAAAAAGAGGATAAAGATCAGGAGGTGGAGCAGGAGGACAACGAAGAGGAAGAAGCTTCCGAGGGAGTTCGGGAAGATGAGGCAAAAGAAGAAGAGAGTTAGTTGACAAATGATCAGGGTCCATGAGGGAACAAGAAAAGGAGGGATAAAGAGGAGCCAGAGAGGCTCCAACAGGAAGCAGCGTGGCTGTAAAAGATGGAAAATGTCCTCCTTTCCAGATAATGTGCTCCGACCCACTTTATCACGTGACGCTCTCATCTGAAGGCCAGTTACTGCCCCTCTTCAGATATCTTCAAAAGCTCACAGAGTAACGTCTGAGACCAACAGAGCAGCGCTGGATGGAGAAACTCTGCGGAGCTTTCTGGTTGTTGCAGTAAGCCGATCAGCCGGTAGTGACAGAGACGAGAATCTTCTCGACCGGGTGTCTGTGCATCTAACACTGCCGTCAAACGGGGACAAAACAATAATAACAATAATAATAACAATAACAGCAGCTGGGGAGATTGGTTTAATCAACCTTTTGTAGCTTCTGGAAATAAAAAATGCAGAAATGCTTAAATGCAAATAAGTGTGTGCCTGTTATCCAGTTGTTATAGACTGTCACCCATCGTCTCTTGGTTACCGTCAACGTCTTATTGATGATGAGAGAGATAACACAGTGACCTGAAAGAGCAAAATGAATAAATGCAGTCCAGAAGGTGAAGTCTGTCATCTTGTATGTGCTTCAGAAGGTTTAGGAAGGTGCTTCGGTCACCTCCTCACGCTGAGAGAAAACAATGCTGGATGTCTGACTCTGTGTCTAAATTATGCGTGGTCTGTTTTCTCCAAGTGGAAACGTAAAAGGCTGACATGTTGTGTGTGTCTATGTTGACTCGTGTGAAGATTTAAAAATTAAAAACAAAAAAAAGGACAAACATCCAATAAAAACACCAAATGTTGATGCCATTGTGACATTGTCACCTGAAATGTGCCAAACTGTCCCACAACCACTGAGCAATGTGGCCTCCAAACAGTGTGTGCAAGGGCGGGGGTGGGGCTCTCATCACGAAGCAATGAAACTGTGGGACCAGGGCCAGCAGGTGTGATGGTCTTCCACAAATATGTCTTTTTTTTTTTGTAAAAATTGTATTTGGCACTTTATCGAACACCCTTGTTGCATATATGTACATAGTAAACATGTATTTTAATCTGCTGATGTCATATAATAAAGATGATCAACTCATGGAGTCTAAGCTGTTTTCAGATCATTTAGACACGAGTTAATGATCTATCAGTGTTCTGTAATGTAAAGTTCTAAAACACGTCCTTATCAAGAGCTCACTTTATAGCCTGATGTTTTTAATGATTAAAATTGAAAAAAGTACCATTTAATGAATTTCAAAACAAAATCATATATATATATATATATATATATATATATATATATATATATATATATATATATATATATATATACAGTGTTGGGCAAGTTACTTCAAAACTGTAATGCATTATTACTTGTTACCCTCATTTTAAAGTAATTAATTACATTACAATATTACTGATTTTAAAATGTAAGGCATTACACTACTTTTGCATTACTTGAAGTAACTTTCACCAATACAACTTCAATATGAATCTGGTCATGTGACGCTTAGTGAGCTCATGACATATATGTGGAAAGTGATGTGGTGTCTGAGCTAGGATTGCTGTTAAAAACAGTCAGATATAATAACAGTGCTTTAAAATGATTGTTTATTAAATGAAAGCAACAACAATCTACTCTCAGCACGCTGTCATCTTATATTGACTGAGCAGGGAGTGAGGTGGTGGGGGCTCCAAGCCTATATTTGCCTTGGTCCCCAAATGCCTTGATACGGCCCTGGATGTGGGACTGACTTCTGGGGTGATCTGATTCCATCACATGTATAAATATTAAATGCTCATATATTATTGCTTTTCACTGGTAAAAATGTGTATTGGGGATAAATCAACCTACTGATTTCTTTTCAAGCACTTTGTTTTGTTTTCTTGATTTTGAATAACTTCCTGCCCTTTCTCTCTCTAACCTTCCTGCATGCTGCGAGTTTTTTCCGTCTTCCAGAAAAACTTTCCTAGATTTCCTACTTTCTAACTAATCAGCCAAAGGGATCTACCGAACGCAATAAATAAATAAATAAATAAATAAGCTTTGCGCTAGGCTCCAGCAGCAATGAGTTGAAATCACCGGCGCACAGATTATGAACTCAGCTGAAAATTACATGAAGTACCAGAGATTGTGGGCTGATATAAACGATCGCAAACGAATTACTTTGTTTTGGTGGAGAGGTTTTGTGAATATAACAGCGGCCGCGCGCAGGACGCAGCTGGAGTATTTGAGCCATTACCGCTGCGTCCTCTCTGCTCATAGAATGCCCGCAAAGCTGAGTCCATAAATTATGTAATATATGTAGATACTGGATCTTTTTTCAGGCTTCCCGCAATTTGAATTTTTAGGAACACATCTTGATTCTGGGTTTAAAAATGCATTGTAATTACCGCGTTACTGACAACTGTACCGAGTAAATATTACCATTTTCTTTTCCTGTAATGCCTTACATTACCACAATACAGCAAAAAGCAATGCATTACAGTAATTAATTACTTTTGTACCGCGTTACTCCCAACACTGTATATATATATATATATATATATATATATACACACACATTTCCATCCAACCATTGTCTGAACCCGCTTTGACCACGTAGGGTCGCGGGGGGGGGGGGGGGGGGGTGCCTATCTCCAGCGGTCAATGGGCAATCAGGCGGGGTACACCCTGGACAGAGAGCCAGTCCATCGCAGGGCAACACAGAGACACACAGGACAAACAATCATGCACACACACACTCACACCTAAGGACAATTTAGACAGACCAATCAACCTAACAGTCATGTTTTTGGACTGTGGGAGGAAGCCGGAGTACCCGGAGAGAACCCACGCATGCACAGGGAGAACATGCAAACTCCATGCAGAAAGATCCCAGACCGGGACGCGAACCCAGGACCTTCTTTGTCTGAATAGCGTCGAGGGACTGACCAAACAGACAACTGGGTGAAACAGGCTTGTCCAGGTAGTTAGCCCTGTCCCTGTGGGGGACATTAGAAAGGGTGAGCCACAGGTGTCTCTGAGCCTCTACAGTTGAGGCCATACCTCTTCCCAACAGCAGGGCGACGCCTCGGGCCGCTCACAGGATGTAGTCCAATGTGACCCGTATCTCATTGATGAGGGGGGTCAGTGGGCTGTCGGGTGGGACCCTTGCTCCAAGGTCCGCCAGGCAACATGCTTGGTAGGTCTGGAGCATGGTGGAAGAGCTGAGAACGTGAAGAGTGGAAGCCTGCGCACGGTAAATCTTCTCCAGTTGTGCAGCTGAGAAGCAGCATGGCTTGGAGGGTTGATTAGTTTGTCCACTAACTCCGTTATTACAGGTCGGAGCCAGGTAAGCCGCGAGAGAGGGTTCCATCGGAGGGAGGTTAACCAATCCCGCCCTTTCTGCGCTGTCGAGGTCCGAGACCTGACCGTAACATGGGACCATGGTGCGGGTGGATAGCGGCTTGGCCCAGGATGCCGTGAGCTCAGCCACAAAATCTGGGTACAGTGGCAGAAAGTTCTTTACCTCCACTGGTTCCAAGAGGAGGTAAAATCCAGAGAAACAGAACCTCTTTTATGCAGGTGGAGGAGCGGGCCAGTCCACTTCTAGCCTCCCCGCCGGCAGAGCAGGAGAAAAGAAGAGTCATCTCGCAGCTCGGAGGTTGAAGTAGCGGCCGGAGCTGAACACTCCACCGCCGAGAGGACCTCCTCGTCCTCGAGTAAGTCCTGACCGTCGAGGCAAATGTCCAAAATGTGTCCTTCATCCTCTGCCAGATGATGAAACTGAGAAGCCTCTAGGTCTGGTCCGGTTAAATTGTCCGCCATCTCCATCTGATCTGCCCAGCTAGTGGCGGGGACTTCAATCACTAGGCTGTCCACGTCAGATCCAGGCGAAGCCGGGGCCAAACGGGAAAGCATGGGGTCCTGCTGCGAAACTGCAGCGTCTCCCAGGAGACATTGTAGGAGCTTCACGCGCCATTCGAGCGTGGGACGGCGGAGTCGGCGACAGAACTCGCACGCCTCCGGGTCCACAAGCACTCTCCTGGCGTGGAGAATTCCCAGACAAACCGGACACACTTCATGTAAGTCCTTCTCGTGAAGAGAGAATCTACAGCCCTGAGGACAGGGCCGCGAAGCGGCTTTCCATGAAGCGACGTCCAACACGGTGCTCATTACGAGACACCCAGCAGAATGAAGTGGAGAAGCTGAAGAGCCACGAAAGATAGCGCTTGGTGGGCGGGAATGCTAGCCAGAAGGCAGTAGAGTCCAGTCAGTGAGCAGTTAAGTTATCTTTCAATAGCGCGGCTAGTTGTCAGACGTGTTCTCAGCGAGTTGAAGAGCGTAAGAACTGAGGAATGACAGTGACGCGGTCGCTTATAAATGGAGGGCAGGGCCTCCATGCAGCGTCACTTTCATTTGCCTTACAGGCATGATTAAATGTGTCTTCAGCCAGGCCACACAAGGGCGTGATGTCCCATAGTACCTTTGTTGTACCGAGTGAATCGACTGAAAGGGAACCACATTTGCAGCTTCAGAGTGCGATCCCGTCTGTTGGGAGCTGACATGCCTGGCGCTGCAGTCTGTATGTTTTAAATCATGAACACAGCTGATTTGTTTGATTTAGTTATGACTCGTTCCTGTAGAGACTAATGAAGGCTTGGGAGACAGTTCAGCTGTTAGATTAAAGTTAAATGACACAACCTGGATTTGAATCCTGATCTCCTAGTCTCAGGTTGGACACTTTACCACTAGGCCACTGAGAAGGTAAGGTGTTGAACAGAGGAATGCACAGTGAGGAGATAAATTTTGCCTTTGGTTCTACTAAATGAACACTAGGGGGTGCTGCAAGCAAGCAAAACTGCCAAGCGTGCCTTTAACAGTTCAATGACACTTGGCATTACAGTAATTCATAATTAATAAAAAAATAGCAACAAATGATTCAGGATTTATTTTTGTAACTATCACATTAAATGACAAAAAAAGTAATGTCTAATGTGTTTTAAAGATCTTCGTTTGGTGTGACCATCACACCTCCATCCATCCACTCCAGCTGGAAGTGGTGCTGCTCGATGGACGGTCCTCTGGGGAGGAGAGGAGCTGCTCTGTCTCTCTCAGGAGATTGCATGTTAGAGGCTTGGGTTTGAAGAGCAGAAAAACAACAATAAAACTAATAAATAAGTGAAACAGACACTAATACTTCTGATTGCATTGATAGTAGAGATGAAGGACATACCTGAGAAATTGATGCTGGTTTCATCCTCTTCATACAGATCCAGGAAAAGACGGTCCAGAATACAATTCACAAATGTATTTGTAACAGACCCTAGAAGATAAGTTAATACACATTAAAAATGTTATTTACATGAGTTTGCAAGTCTTCACCTCTGGGGGACCAAGTACCAGGAAGGTATTCCTGGGGCTGAGCTTCACATGAAGCAGCGGGAGAATCAGGCAGGCGAGCAGAGCCAGGAGTGTCTGGTTGAGTCCCAGGATTACATCTGGTTTCAGGACAAGAGAAAGATCCAGAGGATGAGAGATGTGACTATATTAGCTGGTATGCAGATCTTGTTTTAGTCATTGAACTGTTTACAGGTTCAAATAGAAAAATGCCTGAAAATGAATTGAAACCAAAAGAGGACGTAAACCCATTTCTTAAACCAAAACACAGTGTGGTGATTTAAAAACAAAAACAGGTGCACGGTTTCTGCTATGATCAAGGGCAGAAATCCCATTTCAATTTTTTTTTGGGGGGGGGGGGGGGGGGGGGGGCAATAAACAGTAAAACTTCAGAGAGTAATTTTTGGGGGGGACGTGAAAAAAAATGCTCTCAAAATACAACACTCAGGGTTTCCCTTTCATAGGCGTAGCCGTGGCGGACTGCCACGGCTGAAATCCCACCGCCACGCCTACAAGATCCCAAGTTTTATTTTATTTTTTGCGCTGCTTCCCGAAGAAGCAGCGGGAACTACTACTACATGTCGCTTGTGATCACAGCCGGCAGGCAGCAAGGAGGAGAAGGCAGGGCAAGGTGAAGTTACTGAGCAGTGAACTCAGTTACTGAGTTTAAAATTAGAAGGGTAGCAGTGGATATAATGCTTTTTGGTTTACATGTTTCAATAGCATTAAGATAAACGAGTGTTGACGATCTTGACAGGGTTTCCTCCAGTGCTTATTTAACCGCATCTAATACTGTATTACGGCGTGAGCGCAACAGCGACAACGATCGATGTGTGAGCAGCCTGAGAGGTCGGGTGTTTCATCTGAACCCTTAAAACCTCCAGCAGGCTACGTTGCACTATTGACGTTTTAGCGCGCGGCGCTAACAACTTAGCGACGTGACATGTCTCGGAGAAAGCGTAAAAACATGTTGGACGCTTCTTCTGAAGCGGGAAAATAACACTTCATCTTAAGCAGAGCACGACCTCGCCTCGACTCGTTCACGGCCGAGCCGGACTGAGCTCGATAACATTGACCCAGCACAGCCACTGGGTCGTTGGAGCTGCCCCGTGACTGCCTGATGGAAAACCAGCGGGTTTCATCAGACTCGTAAAGTGTCTTGTTTTTGCTGGGGACCCCCTGTATTTTACCGCTCCCTCCTGCAGTCTTCCCCTATTAAAATTTAAAATGATTCTGTAAATTCCGTGTATCAATAGAAACAATCTCTGCCTCTGCCAGCTGCAGTAAATGTAGTCTCCAAATAATAAATAAGAGGTGCATTTATCTGTGTATCTCCTTCGATCCGCATTAGTGATATTTTCAGCACCAGAACAGTGAAGCAAAGAAACAGATTCCTGAGTTTGTTAGTCATTTTATTTATTAGGTGCATCCAACCTGTTCTATTTTTCTCTGAAATGAGATCAAATCAGTGCTTCTATTGGTTGTTATTTAGAGACGTGTCATAATTCCCCATAATTGGACTTTGCCTAATGAAACCATTTAAAAACAATTTCATAGTTATTTCATTTCTTTCTTATAGATGCCTTTATCAAAATGCAAGTTTCTACTTACTTGACGTTCTGGAGCATTAAAAAATGACCTGATGTCTGCCGTTTTTCGTTTCTCTGCCATTTCAACTGTCCTGGTCTGCTGACAGTTGGACAGCATCACACACACAGATGGGATATTGTCATTAGAACGGAGCTGGAGGATATTGATCAACAATAATATCTTGCCAATTTTGTACATCTCCATAAGCATCCTTTCTTTTTGTTTTCATTTCAATAACAAGACTGTGGCCTAAAACGGAATAAGCAATTCAGAATAAAGATTTAAAAGTAGATCGTTATTAGTTGAAGTAAAATGTCCTGAAATGTCATGGCCATTAGCTGACCAACAGCTGCACGTGTGGACGGATGCAAAGCATTAATTTTAAGTACTAAAACATATCTAACTTTTTCACAACAAAGAGAGAGAACATAAAATGTCAAATTAAAATTTTATTAAATCACATAACATGAAAGCTACTAAAACCCAAATAGTTCCATATTGATTTTAATATATTTGAAAATTTCCTTCTATATATGTCTAGAAAAAATAACAAACTTCAAATCAGCTTTCACAAGTCAAGTATCAAAATGACTGAAATCTCTTTAATAAATCATAGGCTGTAAAGAAAATAACATAATATTTAATAACTTTATCTAAGTCCTACTGAACGAAAAGATACACAAAATCTAAAAATATATTCTTGAAATATTTGTTTCATTTTAATAATAAAAATTAAAAACATTTACTTTACAAATACACTAAACATATACATACTCTATAGTTTATCTTTCAGTTTAATCAATCTCTCACTTTTCTCAGTTTTCATAGTGTTTTTGGGTCTGTGGCCAACAGGATCTTTGGCTCTATGTTTTACACTGAGAGCTTTGAGCAACGTGCCTCCACCACACATTTGCTGCAACCAGTTCATCACTAAGCTGCACGGTGCACCTGCACTTTGACATATTGTAAACAACTGCAGAGCCTGGGGAAGACGGGACAAGAGCGGTCAAACGCTGTGGTATTCCACACATCGGACCAGTAAGTTTCTATTTTACCATATTCATCAGCTAAATAGGATGAATTGCAAACATTTTCATCGATCTATAAATGCTCTGCAGATTCCAGGGGCAGACCGTGAAAGCGTACGTGTCCGGGAAAAGGAACTTTTGATCACCTTAGTGAATGGAATAATAATAGCGGAATAATCCTGGAATGACCAGAGAACATGAAGTGACAACTTTTTTTTTACTGTGGTGGTGGTGGTCTGTAATAAAGGGATCTCTGACCAGTGATCAAAATCTAAAGATGATCGGTGTCTATGTTTGACATTTATGACCACATTTGACATACATATTTAAGTTTGTAGAACAAGCGTGTGATAAATGACTTACTGCTGGAAACGGCTGGCTTTTTGATTCCCGCCTCTTGTGAGCCTGCGGGCTTCTGTGAAGCTGTGAGCGAGGCAGAGCCTGCAGCCCCGCCCGTTGGAAACAGAGTGTGTGGACCGACCGTACTGACTTGAGGAGGGGGGGGGGGGGGGCACTATAATTTCTCGACAATTAAAAACACATTGTATTGTATTTGCAGACTAACTTTTACGTTGTGGTTTTATAAGAAAATACAGGTTTACTGATAGCATTTATGTGTTTACAATAACTTTTGTGGGGGGGACAACTTTGTGTGAGGGGGGGACGCATCCCCCCCGTCCCCCCTGGGATCTCCGCCTATGGCTATGATGACTAGACTCAGAACTGGTATTGCATCGATTACTTTCTGGGTAAAAATCAAGAAAGATTATCTTCGTTATTTTAATTTGCCTGTCAGAAGTAAAGGATGGGATGGTTTGTTTCAGTACTCCAGCTGCAAGAGTTCATCAGGAAGCCAGTTTTCTTCTAGAAAAATAAATGGATCTGCATCCACCTGCTGCCCTGATTCAGCCCGTTCAGAAGGCTCGTTCTCTCCTGTCCTTGTCTGCAGTGAGAATACAAAACAAACATATATGTATCATTTCATAAGCCTTAGGTTTTACGGCAGTTTATATTTTCTCCAAGGATTTCACAAAGATGTTAGAAGGTGCTTCTTAAGTCAAAAGTTAGTTTCCAATCTCTTTGGGGACTGATCATTGTAACTGAGGCAGAACAAGTTCTGCAACAGCATCTTTGTAAATTTTATAATTAAACTGACCACAAAACACAATGCCATGCTCTTTAATCTCACCGTTTTGCATAAATCCGACTGCTCATCCTGGAACTTCCTTTTTGTGGCTGTCATCCCATTCTCTGTCTCATCACTGTGAAAAATAACCCCCCCCCCCCCCCCTTAAAAATAACAGAGGTCATTCAAGCACAGCTGCTTCATTTGTGAAGATCAAACTCATGTCACGTCCCAGTTGATGAAGTCAGATAAGTCAGGATTGGAACATCAATACCAGCCGAGAGTTGGTTATTTAAAGCCATTTGGATGCTTGGTTCTTCCAAATGAGACAAAACTCCCGATCGCCTCCACACCAGTTTGTTTTAATTCAAATGATTTGTTTCAAGCCGCCATTAACATACACAATGCTGTCATTAAGAGATAAATGCTAAACTGTAATGTGACTAGGCAGCAGCAAATTTTCCTTTTTTTAAGTTAAGAAAATGTTTTTGTTCTAAAGATCCAAGAGCAAGTCACCCCCTACCAGATTCTTACTCAACTCCCACTTCCTGTTTGAAAAATGCAACAAATGCTGTTGCCTGGCAGACCGAGAGGGCGGGGCCGCTAACAAATACACACACGCACAGGCTCACAACATTGTGACATCATAACGTACCAGCTAACGTCACAGTGTAACTCTTAGCCAATAGCGATGGCAGATTTAAATTCAAATGCAGTGCAGAGTTTTTACCTGAAGATGGCACAACACTGACAGTTTTAGGCAGAAAATCGAAATTTTTACTAAGATGCACTTAACTGCCAAATTATTGACTACACAGGTCTACAGCACAATTAGACACTCATTGACTCATTCACGGCCATTGACGACTAAAGTCGTCATTTTAAATCCAACCGTTCACTGCCAGTGATAACTAAAGTTGTCATTTGTATGTTTTTTACTGTGTGGGCATCGTAACAAGCCCCTGCACCGTGAGAACAAACAACTCTGCTGATATTAATCCGCTTACGTCACACGTCACGTGATCAGGAAGCAGAAAATCCATGTGTTAGATCGTTTTGGGCCACTGCTATAAAAAAAAAGTGAGACCAAACCAGAAAAGCTTCTACCGATCATAATTCAACAACAGATTATGAAAGAATGGATAAAGCTCGAAACGCGCAGATTTTTCCTGATGTAAGAGGTGAGTCTCCGCTTTGTTTTGGCATCAACATCATCCTAGCGTGCAACGTTGAGACTGACTCTTAAAAAAAACTGTAAAAACCGTGAGAAACTCTGGCAGCGAAGGGCTTTACTGATCAGGAAACGGCTGGCAGCGAATGAATTAATAGTTTTTCAGCAAAAGAAGTTAATTAGGGGGTGACTTATTCTTTAAGTATTAATATAAAAACAGGTCAGATGAAAACCTTCTAAATGGCGTTACATTTGAGTTGACATCTCCCCATCCAAAACAGAGTAATAGACACAGATTATAGCAAAATCTTTATTCTTGTGAAACTTTTGGCTCCAAAGTGGTAATTTTAGGCTTCATAATGTGAAACTGACAGTAAGAAAATACAGCAGCGAGTTGTCAGATGTGTCATATTTGACTGAAGACTTTTGAGTTGAAATAATTCAAGAAAACAAATAACCTGAGAGAAAATACAGAAAAAGGTAAAGTAGAAAATAATTATTAAAAAAAATGTTATCAGCAAATAAAAACGTCTAAATGCTGTATTAAATAAACCAAAGGAGGACTGATAGTCATTTTTAGTCAACATTATTTTCCTCCTTTGGTAAAACAGAAGCATTTTCCCTCCCCTTAAAATTTATCCTTAAAATAAGTTAAATGAAACTTTACCTAATTAAAAACACACCACACCAGTGTACAGTAATAGTAGTTTAGCATAAGTTTTCACTAAACAGAGAAAAAACTTTGATGTTTTAAGGAAACTTCATTTGTAAGAAATATTCAATAAAAGCAAATATTTATTTATGTCAAAAGTTTTTAAAATATTTTCATATAAAACATATTGGATAAACATTTTCACACATGTAACCAGTAACTCATCAGATCTCATAATAAAACACAAACAATATACATGTTTTTAGACTTTGAGACCTAAAACATGACCTTAATAAATAAATCAAAGATTGTTCTAAATTATTTGTAAACTAAATGACGCTGGAGACTGAAACATCCAATAAAATTGCTCAGAGGACTGAGGACATCCTTTTATAAAGCCCTGTCTTTTTCATGCGCCCTCTAGTGGCCAGAAGGCAACATTAAAGTTTGAAAGCTTCCTGAACAGCCTCAGTTCAGTGAAACAGCTTTGAGGACCTTATGGATTGATGAGCTAATGGCTAGTCCATGTAGCTAAGACCAATATGAAATTGCTGTACAGCATCTTCAACTTCCACACTTTATTACGGCTATTAATAAACCTCTTCAACTTCCATTAATTTAGCATTACATTGTTATTTTTACAAACCTGCTGCAGAAAAATAAGAGTTGATAATTAACTTCTTTCCCTGTAAAATCAAAAGTATTTAAGACAATTATTTGTCGTTGCATTTTAAGAGGACCTGGATTATTCACAGTAATATTAGCCCAGTTTAGTGGTGTTATTCTTTGGTTTCATTGTGCTGTAAACATGTTGTTTTCAGGCCCGCTGCTGGTCTTTGGAGTAAAACGAGTCAATTTTTAGAGTTTGATCATAGCGGTCCAGTCAGGGAGGCTGTCGATCTCTCCTGTCTCACTCAGTCTTTGGCCTCCATGAGTCAGAGTCAGCTTGTAGCGCAGACGAACTTTACACTGGAGGAAAACAACAGGAAAATGCTTCAAATATGCCAGAAATAAAAGACTAAGAGGAGTTTAAAACTACTTATGAAACAGAGAGTTTTATTGTACAGCCATAACAGTGACTCTCATTCAGGACAAAGATGATAAATATAACTAAAGAGATTTCCACTCACGCCTTGTGGATTAGCTAACAGGATGACCTGTGAGACAGAAGGTGGAGGTAGGAGAGGGTTGTAAGGAGGGAGGTGTGTCCGAGACACTGGCTGGAGTTTCACCAACATGCCCTGAAATGACAATCAGCTGCATGCTCCGCTCAAATGGGCTTCGAAATAAAATCTATACAGTTTCATTGTATTTGTCCACTAAAGTGTTTGACAGCTTCATTTAAAGATCCCCTCCTTTACAGGAGATGATTTTATTTATTTAACTATTTTACCTTTGAAGCGGCCACTTGAAACACGAAGTCCTCAACATGGAGCGCGGACGTGTTCACCGCTGACATGACGACCACGGCCACTTCTGGGTGACCTGACGGACGGTCTCTGGCAAAGTGAAGTGACACGTGGATACCGACCTGATTGTACACCGTCACCGGCTCCATTTGACCTACAAACAGGAGTTAGAGCTCACAACCAAAGACAAATGAAGGAAAAAGAAAATAAGAGAACGAAAAGTGGTCTTAGGACACAAACAGAATCTGATGGTCTCCAGGGGAACAAAGATATCTTTAAGTGTTTGAAGGGAAGAGGAGCTTTCCTCCAGCTTTAGAGGAGATCCAGACACACGGTTTAGCGGTTTCTGTGTTGTAGTCGGAGATCCGGACTCTGTGACCTGCTGCAGATGAGGAAGTGACCTAACAGGACACACAAAAAGGTAACTCTACAATAATAGAAACTCTATAAGAGCTAAAGAGACTACATGACAGAGAGAAAATCTCAAGTAAAAACTACATTACTACAACTCTTTGACCCTTCTACAGACACTGGAAGTCCACCTGACTGATATACTGTTTAATCTATTTTCTTATAACTCACGAGTGCCTGTAAATTTGAAATAAATATGTAACTACTTGTTTTTCTTTTATGTTTAGCCTCCCCTTTCCCCCTCTCCAAGGCCATCTTTACCCGTTGTTTGTTGTGTTGCTTCCCCCACAGCCACGGCTCCTCAGCAAAACATTTCTCTCTCCGTTCTGCTCAAAATTCGTCATTTGACAATTCTGGTTGATCTAAAATAAAAAAAGTACATTTCTGGGTTGAATAACCTTTCCAACCTTTAACTGTTAATATTTAGATTTGCATTTAAGTTTAACCTGCATCAGTTCCTCGTAATACGACTTTGGATTCTGCTGAGTCTGTTTGGAGACCAGGTCCTTAAAACCTGCAACAACACAAGACCCGTCATCACATGATGAAATATCAAAATGAAAAGAGATGAATGCAGGCTCACCCAAGTTCTTTTCGGCTTCTGATGAGCAGTTGCTCTCCGAATGAGAGGAGAAGGGTGAGGAGGACTCAAACACAGGAGGAGAATCAGCTTTTCTGTGGGTTTGAGGAGAGTCCAGTGCTGACAGGTCGATGAGGTGGTAGCTTTTGATCTCTCGGGGGCTAGTCGGTGCTGAACAAATAAAAGAAAACAAGATCAATCACAACAGAACCAGACATAAGTTCAAAATGTTTCTCCAAACAGACCAGAGGCGAGGGAAAATAAAGACTCACGACCTACAGGTGCTTTTATTGGTTACTTCTTCACTTTTACTTCTTGTTCTTCCTCTGTTGCATTTTCCTCCTGCCATCAGGTCTTTGTAGGCGTTTAATACAAGTGTTAGCTCATCGTTCGCAGCCAGGATTTGTGCCAGAGCTGCATCGTCATCCATGGAGTCGCTGGCAAGCCTGAACAGGCGGGGCCTCAGTTGATCACAGCACTCATACAGCGCCTATGGACAAGACAAAATTAAATATCCATCCATTTATTGTCTGAACCCGCTTGTCCACGTAGGGTCGCGGGGTGTCTGGTGCCTATCTCCAGCGGTCAACGGGCAATCAGGCGGGGTACACCCTGGAGAGAGAGACAGTCCATCGCAGGGCAACACAGACACACAGGGCAAAAACCACGCACACACACACACACACACACCTAAGGACAATTTAGACAGACCAATCAAACTAACAGTCATGTTTTTTGGACAGTGGGAGGAAGCCGGAGTACCCGGAGAGAACCCACGCATGCACAGGGAGAACATGCAAACTCCATGCAGAAAGATCCCACGCCGGGAAGCGAACCCAGAACCTTGTCGCTGCAAGGCAACAGCTCTAACCACTGCGCCACTGCGCAGCCCAAATTAAATATTAAGTAGCTTAATTTTAATTCTCAATTCTACACAGATGAAATACCAATAATTTCTATGTTTTACTCGCTGGAAAGCCAAAACCCCAAATGTCTTTCAAAGTCATATTTAGTGTCCTGCTTTTGTGATTTTAAATTTCATGTTTTCATTTTAAAGATTCTGAAACTCTCAAATTTACAAAAATTGAAAGTAAATTAGCTCCCCAAATTAAAAAGTCTGTAATCTAATAATAAAGAAGGTCACAAAGAGCCGAGTGTCATGTCCTCTACAGTCAGGTGACCGCAGGCCTGCTGAAAATTTACAGGCACTTGAAGACTGAGAACACCAAACACGACTAGCATCACAAGACACTGGAACATTGTCAAATTCAGCAGAAATAACACGTAACAGCAATCATTTACTGCCCTCCGACTACGCATTTCCCCTGGAAAACTAAAAGATTTGTCCTCAGCGAGATGGACAGCTCAAAACAGCAACAGACATGCCAACACACTAATATCCACACAGAAAACAAATGCTATTTAAACTATAAACACTGGGGAAAAAAACATCAAAACTTTATTATCCTATAAGAGTAAAACTGTACAAACAAGTGACAATTAAAGAGCAAGTCACCACAAATCACCTTTATTAGCTGATAAACTATAAATGAGTGTCTAATAGTCCTGTAGACATATGTAGTCAGTATTTAGGCATTTTTCTGCAGCTTACTTAAAATGTAAATATTCAGCCTAAAACTGACAGTGTAGCGCCCTCTTCAGGTTAAAAGTCAGCACTACATTTTAATTTGAATCAGCCATTGCTATTGGCTAAGAGGTATCATGTGACATGACTGCACCGCGCTACACTTCAGCCAAATCTCGGCACCCGCTGCCTCTGCAACTCACAAGCTGTTACGAAATGGTGTAGCTCAGAGCTGCTCGCCTTCCACTGGTGAAGAAGGTGAAGAGAAATTCTCCAGACTAGGAAGCATGCTGCTGTTTATCTGTCTGAGCATAGGGTTTGTTAAGTGTGTGTGTGTTTGTTGACTCGATTCTCTGACGGTAAATCTTTGAGATGGGGGTAGGGGTGGGTGCTGTCAGTCATTGCCACAGAACCTCCCTTTCCTCTCGGTCCACAAGGTAACGCCTCCTTTTGGCATCTTTTAGAAAAGAAGTGTGGGTGGAGTAAAGCTTGGTTTATGCTTGACGCATTCACTTTCCGCTTGGTGATGCGGCTCACGGATGGAACGCGCTTCACAACTTGCAGTGTTTATGGTTCATGTGGCTTGTCTCTGCGGTGAGCCAATATTCTCCCAAAATGTAGGGGGCAGCATGGAGCTCTACAGCATGCATCCAACACTACACCATAGTAGAAGTAGAAATTACTGTTTACAACATGGCATTCCAGCATTTTTAACAGCGTCCTCGTCTTTTCCGACAGTGCGAGCTATTTCTCTCCAAGAATTATTAACAACATGTTGATCACGGTGATCTCTGAGAGCTGAATCATACAAATGTCTGTTTACGAACCTCTGCCGTACTAGTTCTTGCCGGTCCGCCATGTTTTTCCGCGTCCGACCGTCCGCGTGGTTAGAAAATTTCCTAGGTGCGCGGTGCGGAAAGTTTGGGCCGTGCGGAGGCGCGGTGGAGGGGCGTGGTTGTTAAAATGACGCAATTTTGCCGCGCGGACCTCGCGGACGCGTCAAGCATAAACCAAGCTCAAGACTCTGGTAGGGGGGTGACTTGCTCTTTAAGCAATTTTTGTTGTTAACAGTTGGATTTCATTAACAAGCATCCGTTTGAAACGCAACATGCCTTCACATCATCGCTGGGTTGAAACGAGGTTTCAGTATCGATGTGCTGATACAGAAGCTCTCTCAGCTGCTTGGTGCTGCTCTCAACCTCCATCAGGGTCGACTCTCGCTTTGACACTTTCTCAGCCTTTTCCTGCTCCTAAGACACAACCGAAGATTCATCCATACATCATTAAATCAAATATGAGGACCAGCAGTGCTGCAGCGCTCCTCACCTCCTTGATGGTGCTTTTAATTAGCCTGTTGGCGGTTTCCAGGTCTTCAGGACGGCCACTCTTCAGTAGTCTAGCCAACATCTAAGTAAAACACAGAATTGTTGGACAAATAAAATAGTGTGTGTGTTGTTTCAAAGTGACTCCGGTCTGTCACCTTGGCCTTGTCGTCTTGATCAAAAACAGACTCTGTGGTTCTTTGAGGCGGAGGAGCCATAACAACCGTGTCTGGAAGTGTGGGATCCTTCTTCACGATGCCTAACACAAGAGAGATGAGAGGATTTTATTCTTGAATTTTTTTTTCAAGTTTTTGAAAACATAACATAAATTTTTAATTATCTGTTATCTGTGGCATTTCTCAGGTTGGCAAAATCCTGCAAAATAAAATAAAAAATTGCGATTAGTGTTGTCCCCTACCTTGTTTCTTCAGCATGTTGTAGGCTTCCTGAATCTTAGGTTCCTCTTTAAGCCAGAGCGTCCAGCCGTAGAAGACCTCCGTCACTCTCTCTTTAACTTTCTGTGGACTCCACGCGCCAAAGTACTGAAATCAGTAGGTGATGATTAAACTATGCTGATCTGATTGAACTGCATAAAAATTACAAAACAGTTAGATTCCTTATTTAACTGAACCATAATTTAATTACCAAGATTTATAGAAAAAAATATTATTTTAAGAAAGTATTTTTCTTTTAAGGTCTCTTTCACAACTATTGAGACAACAAGGACATTTTTTCAGTTTTTCTGGTCACTCACAACATTGAGAATGAACATCAGATCAACAATCTTACTAATCAGACTCTGTTTTACTTCCAGAAAAATCATTTTCAAAATCATCAGAAATTTAAAGCAGTAGTTCTTTGAAATAAATCTGTTTTGGCAGGTCAGAGCTACACAAGAATCACAAATCGGTATCGGCTCTAAAAACCAGAATCAGCTCATCCTCGAAGTTTAGGTTTTCATTTATAATTTGCTGAAGCTTTGGAATATTGTTCAGCACATTGGTTGTTTTTACTACAACAAAAACTATCTTTATGATGAATAAAGTATGTTACACAAATCTTCATAATGAGCTCTTTTTTTTTTTTGAAGAATTAAACTCAAATGAATTGAGTATTAAAAAAAGTAAACCATAGGCAAAGCTTATGTTGTAAGGACACATTAAACATCAACTATCTACTTTTCAAAGTGAAAAACTGTGTTAAATTTGGACCAGATAGGTTTTCAGATACTTTTATTAACTGCACTGATTTATGTTAGTGGGTCTAAGACAGACCGAGCTCTGACACCTGTGAGTTACCTTTGGCGTTAAGACTTTGATAAGTTCATTCAGAAAGCGAAACTTAGCTGCCTCGCTGTGGAACCGCTTTCCACAATTGTTCATACAAGCCTCGAGAACCTGGAAAGCACCAAAGAGAATATTATCGTTACCTCCAGACACGTTGGAAGTGAAAATAAAAGTCAAAAACACAAGAAAAAAGGATGTGATTTTTTTCTCTCCACTGCTTGTTTGTGGTTAACCAGCCTTAAATGTCACATGATGCGATTCACGGGACCCTTGAAAAGTTACGATTCACAGCAGAATCACGGCATCAAACTGTAAGTTCTCAGCAGATTTATTCCTCATTTTTCTTGCTCATGCAGTAATTTAGTGCTAATCACAAGATTGCTCTCTCCCACAGGAAATGGACTAAATCTTTGGAGGTACTATGATGACCTTTGAGTAAAAACAGATACTGTACATCAAAATACTGATAAAAATCATGTCATTGACATTTGTCTTGTTCAAACAATTAAAAAAATTATTAATTTAAAATTTGAAGTCTAATGTGCTGAAGTGAGATCTGCCAGTTGGTGAACCTGCATCATCTGTATGTATGTTTATGCGAAGTTTGGTTACTGACAGTGAGAGCCTGAAGAGCTTCTTTCTCCTGTGGAGACTGGATTTTATGGGCAAGAAGACGAAGAGCTACATGTGGCCTGAAAGCACAAAATATTTAATTAAACTCAAACAATCTCAGAAACACAGTACTTGCATGAAGTCCTCCAGAAATTTCTGTGCACTCTAGAAAAGCTAAAAGGAATCAGTTAAAATGGTAAAATGTGATATTTTACTTAGAATTTGTGCAGGATTATATTTACAGTCCTCTCATAGCGAAAGGAGAAAAGCGTTGTCTGTTACGTTATCTCACTGTGGTGAAACAGGAACTATGGGTTCAACTTGTGGAGTAACTCTCCCCTGAAAGCTGTTGCGTGGATGCAACTAAGACAGGCAACAGTTCTGCCTAATAAACACCTTACCCATCAGCCTCTTGGTTGACCAGCTGGTAGAAGCCCTGAATACAGTCCCATCTATCCTCCTCATTATTTGGGTCTGTGGCCTTGTCTGATGCAATTAGGGAGACAAAAACAAATGTAAAATAAAATGTAACTGCTATGGGAGACATAGACAATTAGACAAACCTGATGCAAAAGGGTGAAAACTGAATTAGCTAAATATCGTTAATTTGTAATGTAAAATGAATAATTACCAAGGGCTTTAGATATTTGCTTCTTTTTAACACACTTGAGTAAAAAGAAAATGTCTCCCCTGAATAAAAAATTATAGTTTTCTTTGCAAAAACACTTTAACTGATGAATAAAAGTAAAGAAATACAGGGATTTCTTCAAAAAATAATTCTCTTTGGGCTGACTCTAAATGTCAATGCAAAAGGGGTCTTTTCTTTTTAAAAATATTATGATTTTCTATTGTTGTCTTCTAACTTCCTGTTAGTGATCATAACATACTGATTTACACAGGATTGTATGTTGCAGGCATCTCATGAACAAACAAGCAGAGATCCTAAAACAGGTCTGCTCCGAACTGAAAACTTTTAGAAAGCTCTAAATGCCCTAAAACAGCAAAAAATCACAGCTGATCACAAGGACTTTCACATATCCTTCATAATGATTTTTCTATTTCTAAACGTTTAAGGTGTTTAAATAACACGTGTGCCAAGATTAGTTTCAGACATGAGTCATTAATTACTCATCTAGATTTTAACAGCATTTTTCCTTTGAAACCTACTAAATAAAAAGGTTAAAGGAAATGCATTGTTACATGTTATTCTTTTATGGGATTTTATAATGAAGTATTTATAAGAACCGTTGGATTTAGTATCAGATAAGGTTCATTTAGTAGTTACAGCTCTGGTAAAAATACCAGTAAGCTTTACTAACCTGCGTTTGCTGGAAACTCTTCCGAGTTACTTTAATTTTGTTTTCGTGTGACATGAAAGCAGATTATTAAATCATCGGCACAAATGATAAACATCCAAAAACTGCTCGAGCGCTTCTCCCTCAGGCACGCGCACAAGCTAAGCAACTTCCTGTTCCAGCTAAAATTGTTTCTACTTTTAATATTATTTTTATTTAGTTAAAACTAAATAAAGTGCGGACAGAGCATTGATAAGCGCTGTTTTACATAAATGCAATAAAGTTTAAACACCGAGTGGAAATGACGTTTTTGGTGACATTTACAGCAGCCGTCAGTGGAGATGAAATGACGAGATGCAAGCTAGCGTCGCGTCTCATCCTTAAACAAGCAGCTAAAAAGTAAACTTTTGTCTCTAGCGTGTTTACTTACTGAGCCACGACTCAAAGGTGTCCTGCGTGTCCACCACAGTCGCCATAGCTGCCCGTCTCTAACTGGTGCGGGAACAGTTTCTGACCGGAGCGTGAGGCGAAGGTGTCAAACTGCAGTTTGTTTATGGTGACATGTGACACTCACGCCCCGTCAGTCACACTTCTGACTTTGCAACCAAGTTACACAAAACACCCCTTCCCCCCTCACTGAGGGCGATTCGTCTAACTGCAATGATTTAGAGGAAATTCTTTTACATTTTGACACAATAACTTTTATTCTTTTAAGTGGAAAACAATTACAAATATCTATTTAGGGAGTTCAACTCAGAATTGTCATTAAAAGTTGATTTTACTTCAGATTATTTTTACAAATTTATACTACTTATCACATCGTTGTTCAATTTTCCAAGCAACTAGATAATGGAAATAACTTTTAAAATGCCTGTAAATTGTTGCCCAATTAATATTTCCTATTTCCAAAATACAGATTTCTTATTTGTTTGCAAATATCAGTAAAATAATGATCATTTTAATAAAAGTTAAACAACTTTGTGGTAATTTAATGATAGTTCTGCTTAATAAAGGTAAAAGGTTAAAGTACAAACAAATGATGCATGTTTCATTCTAGAGTGATTTATTTGTTCATATTAAAAGGGAAATGTTTTGGTCCATCCCAATCAAATCCAAAATCCATTAGTAAAATTGTCATTTAAGTTTTTATTTGTTTTCAAACCGAGATTTCCCCATAAAACACATTTGAATAAAAGCACTGCGGTACTTCCTCGTCCGTGTGCACAAATACAGGTGGTTCAAAAAATCCTCAAGAAAAAAGAAACAAAACATAAAATTTGTTCTCAGTTTATAAAATAATTTTCACAGAATAAATAGTATTATCCACCATGACAGTTTCATGTGAAATTAGACTTGTAAGTTTTGTCATATTAACCACATGTGGGATGACGTTTACAGGCTGAGTCCAAAAGCAGCCGTCTTCCTCTGGCTGCCAGTCAGTGAGCTGATTTGAAGCTGCTCTTTAACTCACGTCTGTGAGCTGAAGAAGCTTCTGGAATCGATGTCTGACCTCTGCAGGACCCAGAGACACCATCATCTCTGCAACACTGGGACCTTGCTACAAGAGAGATGAACAAATGATCAGAAGTTGAAAAACAAGATTAAACGTGTTGGACGCAATCAGAAGCAGCTTCCTCCTTCTGTAATCCCGTGTGGGTTTGACTCAGTGTAGGTCTTCTGCAGCTTCAAGCATTGTAATCATTTAGAAAACACTTTAGTCATGACACAAATGGAAAAGAAAAGTTTATATAGTGTAACTGAATGTTGTTTTTTCTGATTACAGCAGCCAAAACCCACTAAAACTGCTGACGTGGAGCTTTAAAAATACCTCAGTAAAAACAAAAATTACAGAAATGAATGTAAACTCTTAACAATGACCAAAATATGATAAATATATGCTTTCAGACATTCAGGTGACATACTTTTTGATATAAAATACAGTTGTGGGAATCTGTAAATGTGCAAAAGTTGTGAAAATTCCATCATTTTTTCCTGACTTAACAGTAAAAAAAAATGCATTCAGTCCTTTTTTAATTAGGAAAAGAAAAAGCCCACACTGTGACTGTAACTGCAGCATGGTCTTATAATAGTAAACTAAATTGGTTGGCTTTTGCTTGCCAGTGACCACAGTGCAGTTCAACTGTTCAGCGCTGAAGTCAGTTAACTATTTATTACTCCTCTTAATAAAGGTTACGAGGCTGATTATCAGTCCTGGAGTTCTGATTTGAAGCTATCTAGACGCCTACTGTTAAAACACCTGGAAGATGAGAATGCTTCCAAAATGTAACTGAAAAAATGAGCAAAGTCATAACTGGGTAACAAACATTTACCAGTAGGATTAAATCCTGATTAAATCCTTAGATCTGGAGACAAACAGAACTTTTTTTTTGCTTCAGATAAGAAACAAGTGCTTTGAGCAGAGACGGATTAACTGGCTAATATTTGTCACTTATTAAATGAGTGGTCATTGGTTAGTTGGTGGATTTACCAAGAGAAAACAAAGAGAATGCAGCAGCTGCAGAAGTTGCTCAATATTTTTAAGCGAAAGTGCTACGTTATGTTTTTCTGTATTTTTTAGGCGTCAAACATCTCCTTAAGTGTTGTTAAGACTTCTATAAAAGTTGAGCAACATGTTTATGTTTATTCATTAAGCAGACGCTTTTATCCAAAGCGACATACAATTTATAACCTACAGGGCATGTTGTGATCTGTGGGGGAAACCGGAGCACCCGGAGGAAACCCACGCATGGATGGGGAGAACACGCAACTGCACGCAGAAAGGCCGCAGCCGAGTTTCGAACCTGCAACCTTCGTGCTGCGAGGCAACAGTGCTAACCACTGGTCCACCATGCAGCCCAGCAATAACATCAAACAACATGTAAAATCTGTATCGTATATCAGTTATCTACTGCCATGATTTCTAATGATTATTCTCAGTAGACAAACTCAGAAACATCCTACAAACACTTCAGGTTTTAAGCTCTGATTGACACAAACGTCTCAAACTCAGAGTTGGTGACTGAACATAAAAAAAGTCATTCACAGAGACAAACTTGGGACAAATGACTCACTGCAGAGATGCTCATCACACTGGTGGTTAAATTAGTTTTCAACCACTCAACCTCAAATACAAGGAAGTCCTCTTATTACTCATGGCTTTGTATAGAGCAGTACCTGCAGGCCGCTGAGAACCAGACGTAACAGCTTCATCACCTCTCTGTACTTGGTGGCTTTCGTCTGCTTAGCCAAAGTCTTCAGGTCCTTACTGAGTTGGTCCACTGATAGCTCCTCACCACGCTCTGCTACAAACCTGAATCCACAGATGCCCGTAAGTAATCATGAAAGCCTATTACAGCAGGAATGATTACATGCAACATGCTGTTAAACTACTAACTTTTGTACTAATGAAGCAATGAGACATGCCTCTTCTGTGAGTGCTGCCACCTGCTGGCTACAGAGGGAAGGACGCACCCACAGATAGGAGTAGGTGGGACTTACAAGCTCCTGTAGGGATGAAATGTGGCCCTATTGGGGAAAAAAGAATAGTTTCTGTATGATTGGTGATGCAGGAGAGGAACACTTAAACTTATGATTAAAATTCATACTAGCTTCAAATAAAAACACAAATAAACATTAACTTGACACATCCCTTAAGCTACATTTCCATTGAAGACCAAGTTAACAGAAAAAAACATGTTTTTACTTGTAATTTTTTCAAATATAATCGATTACTCTGAGTTTCGCACGCAGGCTAAACGTACAAATTGTTTTCTACCCATCCTGCATTAGACAATGACAGAAAATAGACGGCGAAATGTTCTGATTAGAAAAGCCAGTCAGATCTATGTCACACTGAAAATTAACATTCATGAACCATCTTAGCTCACAACGGGGAAGGTTGTTGTTGATTTAGTGTCCAGGAGACAGATGAGCACGTTTCCACTAGTAGAAGTTAACTGTTAGCATTAGCAACTCCACAACATGGCAAAACAAATTTGTGCTACTTGTGGAGATAAAACAATGTTGCAGAGCAAACGTAGTCAGTGGCAGTCACGTTGCTGTTAGCCAATCAGAGGCAAGATATCCAAATATCAGGAAATAACAGTCTAAATCCTGCTGTCTTCTGCTTCCCTTTGCTCTTGCTCACTTCTGCTTCCTGAAATGGGAGCACCAAAGCTTTTTTCTGACAGAGATCGACTAACAAGTCATTAATTTATAGTTAAGTGAAATGCATGTGTTAGTAAAACAAGTGAACTTGGTCTTTAAAGTAAACTCATTTATCACAGGAAGTCATATAAGACTACATATTTAGCTGAAGGCAATCTAAATAATTTTTGCATACAAGAAAACTTGTAATACAGTGGGGCAAAAAAGTATTTAGTCAGCCACCGATTGTGCAAATTCTCCCACTTAAAATGATGACAGAGATCAGTAAATTTCATCATAGGTACACTTCAACTGTGAGAGACAGAATGTGAAAAAAAAATCCATGAATTCACATGACAGGATTTTTAAAGAATTTATTTGTAAATCAGAGTGGAACTTCAAACAAGGAAAATCTCTGGCACAGACCTGTAACGTCTTCTTTAAGAAGCTTTTCTGTCCTCCACTCGTTACCTGTATTAATGGCACCTGTTTGAACTCATTATCTGTATAAAAGACACCTGTCCACAGCCTCAAACAGTCAGACTCCAAACTCCACTATGACCAAGACCAAAGAGCTTTCGAAGGACGCCAGGAAAAGAATTGTAGACCTGCACCAGACTGGGAAGAGTGAATCTACAATAGGCAAGCAGCTTGGTGTGAAAAAATCAACTGTGGGAGCAATTATCAGGAAATGGAAGACATACAAGACCACTGATAATCTCCCTCGATCTGGGGCTCCACGCAAGATCTCATCCCGTGGGGTCAAAATGATCATGAGAACGGTGAGCAAGAATCCCAGAACCACACGGGGGGACCTGGTGAATGACCTGCAGAGAGCTGGGACCACAGTAACAAAGGTCACCATCAGTAACACACTACAACGGCAGGGAATCAAATCCTGCAGTGCCAGATGTGTTCCGCTGCTGAAGCCAGTGCATGTCCAGGCCCGTCTGAAGTTTGCCTGAGAGCACATGGATGATACAGCAGAGGATTGGGAGAATGTCATGTTGCCAGATGAAACCAAAGTAGAACTTTTTGGTATAAACTCAACTCGTCGTGTTTGGAGGAAGAAGAGTACTGAGTTGCATCCCAAGAACACCATACCTACTGTGAAGCATGGGGGTGGGAACATCATGCTTTGGGGCTGTTTTTCTGCTAAGGGGAAGGACGACTGATCCGTGTTAAGGACAGAATGAATGGGGCCATGTATCGTGAGATTCTGAGCCAAAACCTCCTTCCATCAGTGAGAGCTTTAAAGATGAAACGTAGCTGGGTCTTCCAACACGACAATGATCCCAAACACACTGCCCGGGCAACAAAGGAGTGACTCCGTAAGAAGCATTTGAAAGTCCTGGAGTGGCCTAGCCGGTCTCCAGACCTCAACCCCATAGAAAATCTGTGGAGGGAGTTGAAAGTCCATGTTGCTCGGCGACAGCCCCAAAACATCACTGATCTCGAGAAGATCTGCATGGAGGAATGGGCCAAAATACCAGCTACTATGTGTGCAAACCTGGTAAAGACCTATAGTAATCACTTGACCTCTGTTATTGCCAACAAAGGTTATGTTACAAAGTATTGAGTTGAATTTTTGTTATTGACCAAATACTTATTTTCCACCCTGATTTACAAATAAATTCTTTAAAAATCCTGCCATGTGAATTCATGGATTTTTTCACATTCTGTCTCTCACAGTTGAAGTGTACCTATGATGTAAATTACTGACTTCTGTCATCATTTTAAGTGGGAAAACTTGCACAATCGGTGGCTGACTAAATACTTTTTTGCCCCGCTGTATTTTCATGACATCCACTTCCAAGGATAATTTGGATAACTTTAGTATATGTATAGGATCAATCAAGAAACAAAACATTCAATTAAATGAAGATAAAATGCACTACTTAAAAGGAAAAGGGCAAATGTTTTGAAAGGTTTGTCTTCTATTTGATGGCTCTATAAACACAACTTCTTCTAGTTTTGTCATTCTCACCTACAGGTCCTTCTCAAAAAATTTGCATATTGTGATAAAGTTCAATATTGTCTGTAATGTACTGATAAACATTATACTTTCATATATATTAGATTCATTACACACAACTGAAATAGTTCAAGCCTTTTATTGTTTCTAATATTGATGATTTTGGCATACAGCTCATGAAAACCCAAAAATCCTATCTAAAAAAATTAGCATATCATGAAAAGGTTCTCTAAACGAGCTATTAACCTAATAATCTGATTCAGCTAATTAACTCTAAACACCTGCAAAAGATTCCTGAAGCTTTCAAAAACTCCCAGCCTGGTTCATCACTCAAAACCGCAATCATGGGTAAGACTGCCGGCCTGACTGCTGTCCAGAAGGCCATCATTGACACCCTCAAGCAAGAGGGTAAGACACTGAAAAAAATTTCTGAATGAATAGGCTGTTCCCAGAGTGCTGTATCAAGGCGCCTCAGTGGGAAGTCTGTGGGATGGAAAAAGTGTGGCAGAAAACGCTGCACAATGAGAAGAGGTGACCGGACCCTGAGGAAGATTGTAGGACCGATTCCAGACCTTGGGGGACCTGCGGAAGCAGTGGACTGAGTCTGGAGTAGAAACATCCAGAGCCACTGTGTACAGGAGTGTGCAGGAAATGGGCTACAGGTGCCGCATTCCCCAGGTCAAGCCACTTTTGAACCAGAAACAGCGGCAGAAGCGCCTGGCCTGGGCTACAGAGAAGCAGCACTGGACTGTTGCTCAGTGGTCCAAAGTACTTTTTTCGGATGAAAGCAAATTTTGCATGTCATTCGGAAATCAAGGTGCCAGAGTCTGGAGGAAGACTGGGCAGAGGGAAATGCCAAAATGCCTGAAGTCCAGTGTCAAGTACCCACAGTCAGTGATGGTCTGGGGTGTCATGTCAGCTGCTGGTGTTGGTCTACTGTGTTTTATCAAGGGCAGGGTCACTGCAGCTTGCTATCAGGAGATTTTGGAGCACTTCATGCTTCCATCTGCTGAAAAGCTTTATGGAGATAAAGATTTCATTTTTCAGCACGACCTGGCACCTGCTCACAGTGCCAAAACCACTGGTAAATGGTTTACTGACCATGGTAGTACTGTGTTTAATTGGCCTGCCAGCTCTCCTGACCTGAACCCCGTAGAGAATCTGTGGGATATTGTGAAGAGAAAGTTGAGAGACGCAAGATCCAACACTCTGGATGAGATTAAGGCCGCTATCGAAGCATCCTGGGCCTCCATAACACCTCAGCAGTGCCACAGGCTGGTTGCCTCCATGCCACGCCGCATTGAAGCAGTCATTTCTGCAAAAGGATTCCCGACCAAGTATTGAGTGCCTAACTGAACATAATTATTTGAAGGTTGACTTTTTTGTATTAAAAACACTTTTCTTTTCTTGGTCGGATTAAATATGCTAATTTTTTGGGATAGGTATTTTGGGTTTTCATGAGCTGTACGCCAAAAGCATCAATATTAGAAACAATAAAAGGCTTGAACTACTTCAGTTGTGTGTAATGAATCTAATATATATGAAAGTCTAATGCTTATCAGTACATTAGAGACAATAATGAACTTTATCACAATATGCTAATTTGAGAAGGACCTGTATACGTCCCCGACAGCTAACAGTAACACAGTATCTGCAGTTTCTGCTCAAAGTGTAAATATAAAAAATCTGCACAGATAATAATGCATTAAAGTTTTTTTCCTGTTAAGATGACCTTGCGGAGATGTAGCACCCGTTTGATGTAAGCCTCTCGTAGCACTTCATCGTCCTGGATCTCTGCAGCATAAACATTCTGGATCTGCTGCTGCAGATCTTTGATCAGCAAACAACATTTCTGTTCGTCTTCAATTTGCCGCTGCAGGTGGATTCTGCAGAAATCACACAGAAATCAAACAGTCATGACCCCAAAGGAAAAAATTAATTATCTTAGGAGATGATGGAGACAAGAAAATATCTAGCTACTTGGCCGAACAGACATGCGAGTGATTAATATAAACTCGCCTGTTGAATTCTGGAAGTTTCTCCAGGTCTAACAAAGCAGAATGAGTTGTGATCTTTGAAGGATTAAACTCAGACACCAGTTCGTCTATCCTCCGTCCCATTCGGTTAGCTACATGTAAGCATTAAGGTTCGGATTAGAATCTGTTGCTTTCAGTTTGTAAATGTTAATTTCTAGTTGATCACTCACTGTTGAATCCAGACCCACAGTTGGTTGTGATGTCCAGCAGAGCCTCTGGCAGCACCCCATCTCTCTGGAAGCTTTGAATAAAGATGTCGCCCTGTCTCTTAGAAAGTTTACTGCCATCTTTGTTCATCAACAGGGGCAGATGTCCAAAGGTGGGCGGCTGCCATCCCAGAGCCCGGTACATGAGGAGATGTTTGGAGGTAGAAATGAGCCACTCAGACCCTCGCAGGACATGGCTGATCTTCATGTAATGATCATCTATGACGTTAGCGAGGTGATACGTGGGAAAACCATCAGCTTTTATCACCACAGGATCGCCCTCCACCTAAAACAAGATGACAGCGGGCAGGAAAAAAGCCACAAAGATGGAAAAACTGGTGATTAGCTTCACATCATATCTATAAACTAAGGCCCTGTCCACATGTAGCGGGGGATCTGCCAAAACGTAGATATTTTTCTACGTTTTGGCCTGTCATCCACACGAAAACGGAGTTTTTTCACACGAAAACGGATCTTTTTAAAAACTCCGGCCAAAGTGAAGATCTGCGTTTTCTCCGTTTTGGGTGTCTGCATGTGGACAGACAAAACCGGAGTTTTAAGATCCGCAATGTCACTTTCCGCGACAAAAAAATGCTGACATCACGTGTGCGACCTGTGTTTACACTAGCCGGCATCATGGAAGCCCTCAGAGCTGCGTTCTGTCACTACCCGATCCATCAATTGTCCAAGCGCTTTTTGCTTGTTTGTTTTTGCAAGCGGAATTACTGCTCCTTGCGGAAGACCACAGACGAAGGACAAGGTTAAGAACGGGGGAAGTACTGCCGCCTACAGGTCTGGCATGTCCTTAACAACGTATTTACCCGGGTACGTGTGGACAGAGTTATTTTTTAAAACGAGGTGGTGTGGATGCAAGTTTTTGGAGGGGCGGATATTCGTTTTTTTAAAAACCCGGCTACGTGTGGACTAGGCCTAAATTTCAGGTTTAATTACTCGGCCGTGCACGTTACTTGGTGTATAAGCCTGAATTCTGTTTTGTCATGAACTCCACAGAAGAAACTAAATCCTCTCACCTGAGCTACCTCATGACGACTCCACCCAAAGACCAAATCATGAAACGGCTCGACGCCTGCTTCCAGACGAAACCTGATCACGTGCGATGCCCCCTGAGCCTGCTTCTCCTGGACCTGGTCTGGTCGCAGGTGGCGGCACCTGTTGTCATACCTGTGGAGCCAACAATCAGCAACTGGACTCAGATAGAAAAGATGCACACATAAACTGGAAGGACCAGGTTAATTAATGTTTTTTGTCACCTTGGAGTCTGCCCAGCTCTCAGAGCCTCTTTTTTAAGTACTTCCAGCCTCTGGGGACTGCAGAAACAGTAGTATGCATGACCATGCTCAACAAGCTGCTGGGCTGTTTGAGTGTAGAGGTCTAATCTCTGAGACTGCAGGTATGGGCCCAGTGGCCCTCCTTGTCGAGGACTCTCATCTGGAGGTATACCTGCAGGAAAAGGTGAGCTCAAGAACCAGCAATCACACATCTTTCAAAAACTGAGTGATAATGAAGTTTCAAACCACTTCTCTTACCAGCCCACTCCAGCATATCCTCTATGGACTCTGCTGCTCCTGGTACCAGTCGGCTCTGATCAGTGTCCTCCAGGCGCAGGACGAAAACGCCACCATACTTCTTTGCAAAGATATAATTGTAAAGAGCAGTTCGGAGTCCTCCTAAATGCAAGAAACCTGCAGAGAAAAGCAACAAATACTCAAGAGATCAAAGCAGGTTTGAAAACGAATCGTTATTACACCTGTCAGGAGCATGAAAAAGAAAACAAGGTTTTTACCATTTCTATTAAACCACGAAAATAAGGATTCGAAAGAAGTTTTGTTTTCTTTAACAGAATGTTTAGTTTATGTAAAGCTTGAGGTTTTCCACCTAACAATGAAAGATGACAATTATTTGCAAAAGTTGCAGACAAAAGAAAAGTCTTCCCCTAACGTGTGTGCTAACAGGGAGCGTACCTGTGGGACTGGGGGCAAACCGGACCCTCACCTCGCCCTGAACGCTGGAGCAGCATCGGTTCTGAACCCGGAGCTCAACCCGTCCGGTTCTGCCCGCTGAAAGACACCGAAACGCTCTCTGAAGACCCAAACTGTCCCGAAAACACTGTTCGTAACATTTGACCCAAAGCCTCATGATGATGCAGCTCGGTCAAACGTGTTTCCCTACTAAGACAAAATCACTCTCGGGTCACACAGAGTACCCAAAACCACGCTAAAAGACGCAATTGTGAACAATCAACATAAAACGAAGCAGAACTTCAGCATTTCCCCTCTCGCGCTGACCACCTGCAATGTTTTGGTTCTCTCTTCGTCTTTCCGACACCGGAAGTAGTATTTGGGACTCAATAAACGCACATGCGCAACACTGCCACTTAGCGGAGGAGCGGAGGACTACTCCAGATCCGAACAGACTAAAATCAAAACATTTCACATGAATGCGAAATGTGCGCTTAAAGCAGAGGTGGACAGAGTACTAAAATTTCCTACTTATGTACAGGTAAAAGTACTTGCCTAAATTTTTACTCAAGTAAAAGTAAAAAGTATCATAAATAAAATGTACTCAAAGTAAAAGTTACTTGGTTACATTTTTGTCAGCGTAAGGATGGCTACATCTATGTAGTGCAAAATCACAATGCCGGTTCGCAATTCGCTCGTGTGATTTATATAAATCACGCGCGCGCACACACACACACGCACACACACACACACACACACACACACACACACACACACACATACACACACACACAAGACTCTAGACTATCAAAACCTGGATGGCTGAGAGCTTTCTACAGCTGAATGAAGATAAGACTGAGATCCTCATCTGTGCCCCAGACAAGCTGGTTCCCAAAGTCAGAGACTCTCTTGGTCAGCTTACTTCTCACACCAAACCTTCTGTCAGGAATCTTGGCGTGACCTTTGACCCAGCTCTCACCCTGGATTCTCATGTCAGTTCTCTTGTTTGCACTTCCTTCTTC